CGGTTGATGCAGACTGTGCCTTTCTGATCTGTGTTTTTCGCACATCTGGGAAGTGCCTTCATGGCAGAAGCTCTTCCGCAGTCCAGGACGCAGTTGGTTTCGTCGCACAGGTACGGAGCAGGAGGACACGCATGTTAAATGTAAGGGGGAGGGAGGCAGGATGTCACATGCCTTGCCACAATTTATAAATTCTACTTCACTAGTTTTACGCGGCTAGGAATTAGTAGGGAAATGCGTGACTGGCTTGGGTTTCTCTGTATCTTACTTATTGCCGAGTGGTGTTGGCTCAGTCCAACAAGATATAATATTGTGTGCATGCGCACCATATGCTATATGCATCTAGATCTTCCTGCTTGGAAAGCTGGAGGCTGCAGCAAATGGCACTCCAGCTGCCCTCCCCTCATGTTGGAAAATATGATGGGGGAGGGGCATCCATGAGAAGGAGACAGCTGTTTAAAGGAAAAATCAATAACCCTCTGAAGTATTGAATTGTGGAGATAAGTGTGTCCTTCCGCGGCTATTAAGTGTAGCCTTGCATGCTGTATCAACATCCGCTTGCAGGCGGGCCACGCTGCCTTAAAAAAATGTTTGGCTTCGTGAACGTCCATGGCCACAGCTCCTCAATTGCCCAGATTGGGTTATTATTGGCAACAGTGTGTGGGATTTGATCAGAACTAGGCTGCTGTTCTAGGAAATCATGTTTTCCCAATGAGTCACCACCAGTGGATAAGTGTGGAGCAGCTGCATCGAGCTACGTCGTGCTAATTGCGCTCCATCGGAAGATTCTGAAGGGTGACACCCCCAAACGCGATACCCACTTCATCGGATCTTAGTAAGCACTTCCAAAAAAATACTCCTTCGTTGTTCCTAAGCGCTTCAGAGTTCTTGATTTGAAGAAGGAGGGACAGGTTGGGTCGGCGCGGCTGCACGCAGTAAGCACTCTGATCATTCACAGCTAGGTACACATGGCATGCAACGCATCCCCCCAAATATTGCTTCGTGTAGTATCGAGCTAGCAACACTCTGCGCTCACCACTGGCGTATAAGACAGCCAAATCGATCAGCGATATCTACTGAATTTTGCTTCGAATATTACTAGTGTAGTAGGAGGCGATTAAACTGGAGCTTAATTTGCTACTGCCAGTGTGTTACTGAGAGCACTAGAGTACAGTTTGGCGGAGGTCCAGGTGCATTTATGGGGCACGTATTGTGTAAAGTGCATTAGGAGAGTGAGGTGATGAAATAACCCTCTCCTCCCACGGCTTTTTGTTAGCCGCTAGTATGGTGGCTTGTCCAGCCTGCGACTGGCAATAATTTTTGTAGCAATGAAATCAAACGCCGGGCGCATTCACCCGTTGGCAGGAAGCACCAGAGCACCGAATAAATTAAAAATATGATGGAGTTTTGGCAAGGATTGGACGTATATAATGTTTTCGCTCAACACCCCTACCGCGCTGTCTTGCACGCATTTGCAGTCCCTTTTACCGCGGCTCGTGATGCAATGAGACATTATCTCGATAAAGTGTGTAAAACAATAAATTAAGATGGTAGCTGGCAAATTTAATGCTTGAAGAATAAGTGGTTTCCTCCGTTTTACGATATGTGCAACTTCTTCGACATGGCAGCGGATCAGTCCCATCACCAGTCTGCTACTCGTCAATTCCCAAGACAGAGGAGACTGCAACAAGCACGTTCACCGCCACCGCATGAGGTGTACCCCTTTAGAGTAGACATTTATATGATTAATCTGTTTTGCTTTTCGAACTGAGAGACGCTCCATGCACAATGACCAATTACTTGGCAGGCCTCATGAAACCCGCCTAGAGTGAGGAGTGCAATGACCAGCCTCCCCTTCTTCTCCTCTGTGGGCAGTAAACTTGTCATCTTTTCCTCTTGCTTATGTATCTCAAGAACCTTCAGCAGAGACTAAACTAAGCCGGTTGGAGATATTTTATTGTGTAACCTCATGCAGGCAGGAAAGAAGGGGCAGTGTCTCAAAAGCATTGAGCACGCGTGTCTGCCTGCAAGCAACAATGAGGCCCTTCATCGCCGCTTCCTCCAGGCTTGTAGTACTGCCTCTGGCAGTCATGTCCCTTTGGGCGTGCAGCGGGGGAGTCTTCTCGACTCCTAGCGGACAGCAGATAAGTCTGCAGCTGGACGGTATTCTCTCAGATTCCGGAGCACATGAACTCTTAGACTTGGCCAGCGGGTCCCCCAGTCAGCACCGAATACTTTCTATACATCATCTTGGATATGAAGTTGCCCCAACTCACCTCGGTAAGAACACCAGAGGCTGACAGTTTCGATGACTAGGCACACGGTGAAAAAAGCATAAAGCTCAGCTTACCACAGAACTTTTGTTGGTCTCCACAAATATTAGCGTGATCGGAAGATCCCTTGCATCGCTGGGCAAGCTGTCCATATGCAAGTCTTTTCTGAATCGCAAAAAAAGCGATAAGCAGGCATGGATCCTGCAAACTGAATCACTGCAATGTATAGTTGTGAAAGCCTAACGCTCTACACGAAATATGAACTAATTTAAAAGGAATCAGAGCGGTGACGTTCAGCTTAAAGGCAAGCAATCCTTTCGTTTTACTCTTCAAAACTTCAGGTATGATGGATGAAAAATCAGAAGCTGGTCTGGCACCTCTTGCAGCGCTTCAACTATCACCCAGTGAGCTTTGCCAGGTCAAGATTTTCTACATAACTCTAATTGCTGAAGTGTGTCCTTTCGAGTAGCAAGTGGCAGCTCTAGAACTCAAGTTCACCCTAACGGGGTGTGTAAAATTGTGGGGTTTGGTTGCACTCAGCCCTCAGCACTTCACAAGAGTACATGGATGCGGTCTTGCAAAATGGTAGGCTCCAGGTTCACCGATTGGATGGGTGGATCTCCTAAAACTCAAGTGGATAGTTGCTCTTCACGTTATGCACGATCAATAGGAGGAGCCTTTAAAAAGTGCTTCCTTCGTGAACCATTTTTGGCAGCGGCCAGCTCTACACCTCTCCAGTGTATTTTCGAAGGCGGCGAATCTCCTTTAAGCACTCTGTAGTGCACATGCTGGTTTACGCAGACGGACGTGTTATCGTGCAACTGATACCACTTGTACCGGCAATGTCCCTCTCATGTATGCCTAACAGGCCGCGATGCTTATTAGGCATTATATGGTTTGGCGATATTTTTTCGTTCATGCTCAGCTGAAGTTCCTCTAGAAGTCCGAAAGACTGCTTTCAGGAGCGATGACATTAAGGCCTTGGGTCTTCTATTGACAACATCTGGAACTTTCTTTAGCAAAACGACACAAAGGAACCTGTTTTTGGTGCTGTCTTCTTACTACAAGATATACTCGCTCTTCAGAGCTTGTGCTGTTGCCTATGGACTCGGATATCTGTTCAGCAAAGTCGACCAAGTCGCTGGTGCGTGCACATTGATCCCGTGGTCACGCTATTTTTGGCATTGTATTGCTGCGGTCAATCCATAAAGTTTCCCAACCTACGGCGCACTGAACGATGTACGCGCCCATCTTATGGTTCTGTTGGATGCATTAGGCCTGCCGAATCTTCTAGTTACGACGCTAACTAGTCTTTTTTTGAACCACCAGAAGCACAACTTGTATGCCAGCCTTATTTCCACTCTCGGACTCCCTGAGACAGTGGCAGGGAGCTTGGGTGGATTTATTCAACAAGACATGAGTCGCACTGACAGCTATACCAACTCCTCTGTCATGGCGTCACTCAAAAACGCGGTATTCCACACTTGAAGTCCTAAATGTTGAATCAACAAGCTCTACCTATTAAGTTATCCCTGTTGCCTCTGCTGTGCATATTCCAACGCCAGTCCTTGGACTACCTGAGTGCTGCTTGTGTTGCTTGCAGATGATAACGTTAACGCGGGATGTACTGGATCCGCGGAGTATAGCGGATCTAATAGATATGGCCCTCATGCCTGCGGCGCCTTCAGCTGTGCAGCTAATCCGTTTTTCCACTGACAAAATTGATGTAGCCAAGTTCAAGAAAAAGTTTCCGTTCGCCTTCGGTCAGAAACACACGGAAACTATTGCACACGCCTTTACGGAAGGTTAGTACTTTCTACCTCGCTAAATTCAGCGTTTAGAGGTGTAAAGCTTTGAAAATTTTTTATTAAATTATTTATCACTGGTGTTGCTGATTTTTAATGCGGATAATCGAATATCAACTTGCTCCCCCACCAGCTAGGCACTTGCGGTTTCATGCACGCAAGCCTTTGTCTTTTCTGTCTTTTTTTGCTCAACAAAAAATCTTGTTTCTTATGACTGCGCTTAAGTGTTTTTGTCGGCATACACTGCAGAGATGCGGAAGCCCGGGACGCCTTATTATAAAGCACTACATTCCCTGCAGTCTATTGCACTTCCCATTTTGGCCGGTCATTGTGCAAACCACTGGGATACAATTGTGAACTCTCAGGTGTATCCACTGATGCAGGGCATCAGCGTCAAGGCCCAGGTATTCCATAGCTGTTTGGCCTTGCAGAAGCTTCTACCTCCCACCTATATACATTTTACCTTTTCTTCCAACAAGTTGGTACTAGCGTTCATGCGTTTGTAAGGTTGTTGAGCAGCAGAAATATCTGCTTTAAACTGGTGCTATCGCACAGATGATTGTGTTCATGTGAATACGTTGTGTCCTGTAAACAAGACCGTGAAGGTGACTGACTATGTGGATATGACACAGGAACTCAGTATTTCTCTGATGAAGCACTATGCGCTCAAGTTGCCAAGTCTGCTCGAAATGTCGAACAGAGATGTCGACTACAGGGCATTCATTGCAACTAACTGGGGACCCATGGTGGGAGCTCTAAGCAACTGGGAAGCTAAGGGTACATTTAAAACGACTTCGGATTTCAGCCACATTGATTTGGACAATAATTAGTGAACGAGTATCTGGGTCGCCCCCATGTAGAGTAATTGACTGTCAGAGGAATCTTCGAAATGTTATCTGGAATAGCAACAATGGAGCCCAGACAAATTTCAGCTCTGTTTGTGAGGAAACTACTAGTATCGAAAAGGTAGCGAAAGTACCCGCCATAATAATATACAGTGAAATTGTGAATTGTGTTTGCATTCAGATGAATTGTATTCAAGCCATGGCCTTCACTGGCGAAGCGCGTGTAGAATAAAACAAATGTATCTATTGTTTTTGCAGCAAGTGGGGACGATATCCTTTCTGCAAAGAGAGGCACAGTTTCCTACACTCAGATCGGGGCATGGGAGCTGTATGAGTCAGTTCGTGGCGCGCCTCCAGGTGAGGGTTACGCCTTCCGAGTGGTCTTCTTCGTACATCGTAAAATAAACTGGTTTTGCGTTGAAGTAGAAAGCTGCAGCTGGAATTCCTTAGTGAGCTTTTTTAGGTAGAGGAAATGCGAACAAATTAAGGAAACTTGCAATTCTAGCAGTGTACTCACATCGGTATTTTGATGCTTCGCGTGAAGACTGACGTGCTGATAAATGAGTGTGTGATGCGTCGCTGGGTGGAGTAGAAATCAGGCAGTCCGATGCTGAAGGCTATTTTGGACCGGGTCAACCTGCCACAGTTTTTTCTTACTTGGGAGTTAGTCCATAAGTGCTTGTTAGACATTGATGACCAGGCCTGCTCGAGACTCCCTGTGTACTTCACCTCTTTATCCGGTATGCAAAAAAGACGACAAGAGGGGACCCAGAAACGGTTGTTTTAAGAGGTTGCCTGTCGCTACACAGCTGAGTGAGTGAAATATGGGACGAATGGCAGACACGGAAGACTACTTTGTTCTGTTGTGTGGGCACAGATACCAGGCTTACGTTGTCCATTTCAGACGAGGCGGTGCCGCTGGAATTCGAGCTGCTGGAGCCTCCAAGTATGCGTATTGTAAACGCACTGAAGTCGTTTCCGAAAACAGTCCGGCCCGAGCGATCAGCTTTTGGCTATGCGGGAAAAATGCGGCTTGCCGTTTACCCTAGGGGAGGGCTATTTACGCGCATTCGCAATAGTGTGATCACTAGAACTCAGGTAAGCGGAACTCGGAATCTATGTTTGCTCATGAATCAATGAGCACACATTTGAATTCATGTAGACATAGTCAGATTGTAGCTCTAGCTCGAGTATGCCGGTTCCTTGAACTGTCCTGTGCATCTGCTGTTGTTTTTGTTCTTCCGTACTGGTCCGCTCAGCAACTTTTGTCACCCTTCCTCACCCTCTCCAGTCTCGCTGGACAGGCATGGAGGCTTTTGCTCCAGCGCCTTAAGGTACTACGAATTAGAACGCCTACTTTGAAGCCTAAAATAAGAATACTACGCGTTCCAACAATGGCTTGGCCCCTTGGCGAAATGCGGATGTACTGATTTAATCGTTTAGATCTGCCTGCTAATTCCTGTTTCTCTGGTTTTGCGAACAATGTTCATCTCCCGCACACATACACTGTTCAATTGGGCAAATCTCCTCGACGTGCGCTAACCCTGGGTTTTAACTAGGCAATTTTTTGCAAGTTGAAGCGTCGCACCACATTATATGTATTTCATGCTGCTTCGAAGCGTTGCTGCTGTTTGCAGAAATCACACGGCCCCAAGATTGTGTTATCCGTGAAGCAAACTCCAGGACTTCCGGGCTGTGTGGCTGTAGTTTTACGTTCAAAGAGAAAAGTTGTTGAGCTGAGAGTCCGGCCACTGCACCTATTACAGGGGATAGATCCTATGAATTGTGCGGCTAGGAGAGGACCATTTCCTACCATGGATGGTATCAGAAACAAACTAGCCCATGGATGGAGAGCACCACCATCGTCAAACGTTCCTGGACTCGGTGTACAAGTGTCCTACCCCAAAGCCAAGCTCGACAATTTCACTAGCGAAAGACTTTCTCCCATCCTGAAGCTACTCTTTCCTTTAAAGGTTGTTGGTGCCATCCACGAACACTTGCGTCGAGGGATGCCCTTTCAGTTGGCCGGTGCAAGAGGAATAAAGGATACCATCAATTACATTAAAGAATGGCACAGAGCTAAAAAGCTTCTCAAGGCTGCTTACCAGGAAGCAAACGACTTGGAAATACAGCAAGACCTTTCACCTTCTCACAGCGAAGACCGCAGGGACCTTGAAATAATGTTGAAACGGAGTAAGCAGTGAACGCAATGCAATAGTCCAGAGTAGACCATGGTGCTTCATTAACGTTATACCGATCTAATTGTAAACGATGAAAGATGGTCATTTGGCTAGCATATGCGGCAGAGGTCGTTACATATATGGTGCATGTGTGCGATCACATACGCTGCAAGCTCTCTTACTAGACCACTTCACGCAGCGAGCCAAGCCCCCTTTGCCTGAGTTCTTGCTAAGGGTGCTCTGTCTGTTTGCAGATGGTGTCAACGGAATGCCATTCAGTACGTCCATTGGCTCCCCAGGGCATCCTGTTGTCTTGCCTAAGAAGCCTCCTCCTAGGGGTTCGAGTAGCCTCCCATTGAGCCATCTGTAGTGGTTGTGTAGCATCTGCCCTTGTTTGCTGCATTTCATTATTTCCTGGTTTCGTCTCTTTGTGCATGTTTTACGTTTTAAGAAGAATCGTGGGCGCTCATTTTAAACAGCACCGATGGCATGATGAACATCCGGTGGGAAGTACTAGATCTAGATGCCTCAAGTGATCAAGAGATGATCGTGAAGGCTTATGGACAGGAGTTTGGGAATATGGCGGCGCTGGCTGTCGCAGCTGACGAAGAATTGAAAGCGTCTGTTGAATTGGATCATGTATTGAGGAGGATGAAAAATAGGTTATTTGACTACTCATGTCCGTCTAAATTTTCAGATACGCGAATTTTTCTTAGGCTGGCCACCAACTAATCGTGGCTTTGCCAATTAATTACATAAAACCGAAAGGGGGGCTGCGTGGGCTAGGTCTAAGGTCTAGACACTGTCTGAAGGCACAGAGATTTACGCTTTTCAACTGCTGCAACAGTATAGGTCTTGTGAAGATAAACTCCAAGGACTAGCCGCGTCCTTGCATGCTGAGGATCGGATTCATGTTCGCATGTAAAACCGTGGCAAGGACATACACGATTAAATAATTCGATGTGGCTGTGGCTTTTTGTTTGTTCAGATAAGCAAACGCTGTATCTTGAAAGCCCAGGTGCTTTCTTGCAACAATTTCTCATGAAGGGCGACGAGCAGGATGTTGCCGCCTTTGAGCAGTGGCTGTTGCGCCGACTTCAGGGCAATTTTCGAGGCAAGACCTGTCGAGCGGAATCTTTTTATGGGAAAGCTTTCGCTCAGTACTCCGATTTGGTTGCCTATTATGACAGAAAAGACCCAACTGCCGTTGTACCCGACTTAGAAGAAGCAAAACGTTTCCTCCTTATTATAAGTGCGTGAGCTCTGTGGAATTGGTTCCTACGCACATGGAGTTCGAGATTTAGGGCTTTCAGGTGGATGTGGTTTTGGCACAAAGTGAGAAGGTGCATTTGGAGGTGTGTCGGGTGCGTGGCTGCCTCATGCAGGCCTCCCGAAGGGCCACCTCATACGTATAAAGAGAGAGGACGATTCAACCCATAGCGGCGTCTATAAACTGGTGGAGCGAATTGATAGGTGTACTTTTCTTCTCGAAGATGCAAACGGCATTCAAGTAACTACTGACGGCATCCTACACACTGTACGAAGTAAGCTGGTGATTACCTCAAAGTCCGAGAGGATGTCTAAGCGTTGCAAGCACAAAATACGTCGGTACCAGCTACGAGCACCCCATGAATTCGTTTCAAATATCATACGATGTGTTTCGGTATCGTAGTCTCTTATGGCTCTGGGCGTAAGAATTGCAGTGTATGGTAGTATTTATGTATGCTGTAGGTTTTGAGGACGGAGACCAGGTTTCTCACGAATATGTTCAGCGCCGTCGTTTTTCCCTGACGGAGGCAAATGGACCCTCAGGTGTTTGCACAATTCGAGACAGAAATGGGTATCAGTTCAAGCTCAGATCCACGGAAACGACTCCGATATGTGTTGGCCATTTCTCTCACCACAGCACTAGACTGCAAGGCGGTTTGTATTCTCTTTCGGATCCTAAAGCAGCATACAATAGTCTTATGGATGCGAAAGCCAATTACGTTGTTGAAATGGAGATAGAACAAACCATTATGCAGGACTGTTATTCGGGCCTCTCCTGCGTCGTTAGAGATGACCGAGATCTACCCATCAAGGTGCACTACGCCATCCCAGGTGCATCTTCATTCCAATTCAATTCCGCGTGCACCCAATGACAAGTGTGCACTTTATTTGCAGTGTTCCGCCAGCTACGGCTACACCTTTGATTTTGTTTGCTCGCTGATCTTTTGGCTTTCGTTTCAGACGAATTGATGTATGAGTGGGCGGGTACCTGGCTTTGGCTCTTTCTGAATGGTTTGCACTCGGAATACTTGAGCATTGTATCAAATCGGCAGTACGTTAGATCAAGAGAAGATGCTTTCTGGATCCAGAGGACTGCAGATGAGTTGGAGAAGTCCTGCTGGGATCTGGAAGACGAAGCCGCGCTATCGTTGAATCGAGACTTTCTCGCGCCAGATGAACCCAGCTTGATTTCTAGGATCGTTGGGTTTTTAAAAAGTAGCGATAAAGGCAAAGCTGTTCCAAACCGCTGTACTGTGCCCGCAAAGGGATTCAGCAGCTTCTTTCCGGTACATTTGCCTTGTCCCAAACTTCATCCCTCTTCCCTTCAGCACTGCGTAGCAAAAGGCAATCCTATTATGACCCATTCAGATTGCTTTTGTTGCATGTCTCATTCATGTACAGGGCGTTCCGAAGGTTTCTTTAGTATCTTCATTGTCACCAACGGAGAGATTTTTCATGAAGCAAACCGCTAGAATGGTGTCTCGCATGTCATCGGCGGCATACTTGCTTCGGCGAGAAAGAGAAGAATCTGCTCTGTTTGCTCTGCGGCAGCACTTTAGGAAGAGGAACTGTGGACGCGATATATCTTGTGCCTCTTGGTGGCTTAAAGCAAGGGAGCTGAGGGGCGCGGTAATCTTGTTCTCAGGAAAGAAAGCTCAACGAATGACTGCAAAGCGTGAGGAATACTTTTTGATAGAGGCATACGAAAATACCGGATTGACACAGTATTGGATTCGGCGCGTTTGTTCGATGCAACAGAGTTTTGGGCGATTGTTTTCGCGTCTACGGCTCCCCGAAGAAGCTGACGGAGTTGTTCCTTGTTCAAGTGTTTCTGCTTTTGTGATCCTGGCCACAATAATGAGCGATATTACTCTTTTAATGAGAAGAAGGGCATTGGCTGTAGCTAAGCAGCGTATGATGAACACAAGAAAGGTCCTCAGCTTCCTCGATGGCCGTGAACTCCCTCGCCCTTGCCACAGTGATCTGCTTAATGCAGCCGACCTCTTGCGGCACGTAAGAAAGCTAACTACGACCGAAGAGTGCGAAAGTCATGACTCTCAGAACAACTACTTCCTGTATCTCAAGTCTCAGGTTGACGCCGTACATGTGCAGGTAAGTTTGAATATACGGGGAAGAGCAATTAAAGGATTTTGGGCTCTTGAAAGTGAAGGTACCCTATTTGAACAGGCCAGGCGTTTCATCTGGTTGGATCCTTGCGTACTGCGCCGTGCCTATGGTATATGCGCCCACAATTTGGGATCTAGGCATGAAGGCCCAACGCGCTGCCATTTCTATAGAAACTAAGAACCCTCCACAAGCATTGACGCGAATGAATATACCATTCCTCGTGGCAGATGCAGAAAGTGGCCTTTGCCTTCTGAACATCCAGCTAGATGTTACTGTTCATGATTCATCACCCACTAGATTATATCCATCGTTCTGCTTCAGGTAGATGATGTCATTCAGCACATCCGCCGTCGCTTTTCTTCGACGCTGGCCTCTCGCCTATCCCCTCCTTTCATCTCCACTAATGAAAATGCATTTCGCCACCAGGCCGCTGATATCGAAGCCATGGATAAAGAAATCTCGGATTTATATGCTTCTCTATTTAGGCCTTTTGAAGTTTGGCAGGGCACATTTCGACACAGGCAAAGAGAAGAGATGCTTGACATTAGAATGCAGCAGCAATGCCCCTTTAGGGCTCCCCGCCCAACCAGACATGCAAGAGAAGATGTCTACGGTCGATATGTTCCATTAATTCAAGGCTTTTTCCCGTTTGGATACGATGGCAAGTCTCTTTTCTGTGCATATCTTGTGGTATCAACCTAGGCTTCCCATACATCTTGCTGCACACCTATATACGGTTTGGGAAAGATATAGGGTGGCCTTCCATAACCACTGCCGCCAGTGTGTTTTTATCTGTCTTATTTAGTTAATAGGATTTCGTTTTTGTAATTATGCATCAGATGCGGAGTACAGTAGCATAGAGGAACGAGCCACTCGCCGGTACAAGCAAACGGTGCTATTGTTTACGGGCCTCTTTTTGCTTCAAGTAGCCGCCCGGGGAGAAGACTTTGCCCGATCCATGATACAATTTATACACAGTGAAGCGGCGACGGAATCAGTCTTCAAAGTACTCTGAAAGCACTCAAGCTTCTTAGAAGCTAAGCTTCACATTTTTGGTTTTTCTGCTTTGTTCTCTTCTTTCCACAATGCCTTTCCCATCCTATGGCTCTGCGCACAGCTGCCCTTGCGCACTACCGCGCTGGACTTCCTAGGGCACCCCTTTTCCTTTTTTACTATTCACTTGACTGGCTTTCTTCTTCTCCGGCTGCTCCGTTTGTTTGATGCCCCCACCCGTTCCTCTGGCACTGTCTTCCATCCAGTGTCCACTTTCTATCCCGTGTGCGATGAAGGAATCAACTTGGCCAGTTCTTGCGTTCCTCCAGCGCCAAACAGTGACGTATGATGGGGATTCAACGGAGCCTTCAGATGAGCATTGCGACGTACTGAAGCAACTAAGGTGGGGGATCGACAAGCTTGGACTGAAGAATGGACAAAAAACGGTTTCCGAGGTACGGGAGGCCATAGGCTTTGCGGTTGGTACGTTTTGCCTGTCGTCGATTCTTGTGCTGCCACTGGTTCGCCTATAAAATGGACAGTGACCATATAGTTTTTTGTATTCTCTCATTTCCAGGCTATAGAAGGTTTAATGCGAGATCCGAACTTTGCCGAAGTTAGCAGCTTCCTCCCACCTCCTGTTGAGGGTGTGGATGCCGAGGCCTGTAAGCACAATTCAGAAACAAGGCCGCCGACCTCTTTCTTGCTGCTGCTGCTGCTTTTGATGCTCCTGCTACTGATACCTACAGCTACGTAGTGCTTCACTCCTAGCATTCTTCTATTGTGCTTCCATCAGTTCTGCGCCTGTTTTATTTTGTATGCAGTTCCTGTGGGTTTTCTGCGCATTCAACGTGGACCGACTGCGCATTCAACTCTGGTGACGATGAGCGGAGATGCTTTATTTGGCGACATGTCGAATGCAAACAGCTTTATTAAGCACTTCACTGCAGACGTAAAGGGAGGGCTCGGACAATCAATGAGGGTGCTTGTTTCCATCAACAAAGATGCTCAAGGACTTTTACTACGAGATTTTATTTCAGGAAAAAGCGCAAGGTTTGAGGAACGAGCAGGTATATTTAAGGGATGTCTCTTTTCGTCTGTTGACCTCGTTCTTTTTAGATGCACATTCAACTGGTTACAGACGTCGTGTACTCAATAAACGTGCTCTATTCTATCGAGACAGGCTTCCTGGTCTTACCACTTGCGTGAGTCGGCTTCTACAGGATGCAGCAAAGGGTCATATCGGAGTGTAGCGGTTCTACGAGATGTGTGGAGTAAAATTCACCATGATATTGACTCTGGCAACGCGCAGACGGGCCCTTCCGAGGTCCCTGAAGATGACCAGTTGGAAGATCGCGTGAGACAGGCAATTGAAGATGCACTTCGTCATACACGTACCCAAGTGGAATGCCAAGACCAAACAGCTTTCTTCCTAAAGGAAATTGTGAAGGTGGTATCACACAGTAAGCATCTACTGAATGTGCCACGATCCCTACAATCCCTAGCCGATTCCTTGTTAGAAAACCCACTCCGCGATCCAAATTGGAACACCGTAGCCTCTACGTTGTGGTCGGAACCAAAATAGCAAAGAGCTGTATGTGCATCTTCCCTGCGCAGACGGGGTTGTGCAAAACGGAGATAGAGCGTGGCGAGGTGATAATCTGGTGGTTCTAGAAAAAAGAGAATCCGGAGTGAAATACGTGCAATCACAATTACCTAGCGCGGTAAACGCGCCCCCAATGGCAACCACCGACCAACTATTCCCCTGTAAGCAACCTTTCACCGCCTTCCTACCCCTAGTTACCCGTTCGCTTCAATGGGACACAAGAGCTTCACCAAGAATATACTAGATGACATGCACTTTACACGTCTCCTGGCTCCACGAATTAATGTTCATTACAGAACTGAATGCTATTTGAAGCAAAAGGCACTTAATGAACGTATTTTTAATACAAATGGGGGCTTGAGCTATCTCAGCCGCATGACATGATTTTGGTAGGATATATGTGCTTCCCTATGAACATGGGCTCAGATACGAAAGTTCGCGTAGGCGACGCAGTACGCTTCCGCGGAAGCAGCACTACCTATGAGCTGCTGCATCTAGCGCCGATCAGCAGAACTGGATGCGTGTCTAAATTGAGGCAGCAAAACGCAGAGAATATCGTAATGACAAAGCAGCCACTCTTCAGAGCTTCAGGTGAAGAATGAACAACGGTCCATGCATACGTTAGCATACACCGGAGGCAACTAATGCAATACCGTAGCTGCATTCTGGCAAGACAATTAGCATTTATTAGGATATCACCAGCTCACTTGCATGGCATTCTTGGAATTACAAACATGGCATAAGCAAAACGCTTTGCTGCTGTTCAAACTCAGGCTTCCAGCAGGGCGAACTCGTGCGTAAAACGTCAAGTGCCGAGGTCTACGAGTACATGGGGACGTGTGGCGTCTACTTTGAGGTTAAAGGCTTTGTAACTGGCATATCCGAATGGACAACTGAGGATCTTATGCCTCTTTGGGGTATGGCATGCGATAATTTACTGGAACGTCATGGCATGCCTGCTTGGCTCTGCCGTCTTCGGCCCATGTTGTCACTGACCAGCCAGAGTGCATTGTGGCTTCCAATCCAAGTCTATTGAAGTGTCTTTACCAGCCAACATCTGCAATATGCGTCTGTATTTACGAATGCAGCTCCTCTCTACCGTGAAACCCTTGGCGTAACACCGAGTAAGGCTTTGCGGGGAACTGTAATGCGGTTTAGCGAATAACCTTCACAATTCCGCCTTCGCGGCATAGGGTCATGCGAGTATTTGAGTGGTTGCTGATTGCCTGGCTTCTCGTTAGGAGGCCTACCACCTTGCAATTCAGTATTTCTTTTAAGCTTTTTCCTCTTGAGCTGGGAAACTAGATGCCATGGAGGGTGGTAGCAGAACGATTGATTTACTTTGTTAGTAAACCTATTTTCGCGTTTGTTCGGTTATTGCTCAGACCAACTGGAAAGCGCATATCCTCACAATGAGCTGCATCTTGACATGGTTCTTATTTTGAATGAATTTATAGCCAAAAAGGGTTCCACTGTCAGTCGGTTGCACTTTGGAAAGGTGTTATCTTTGCTGGAGAGCCACAAAGAACTGCTTAAAGAGGATCAGGAAGCACTGCAGAAAGCGTTTGACTTGAGGGCAAACAAGGCCGCGTTTTATCAGGCAATAAACAAGGTTAAGGAACTTGCGGCTGCACTGGAGGCCAAGTTCAAGAGCAAGATGAGTAACAACATCCCCATCGGTAGGATACACGTAGCGTTTAGGCTTCCTACCTTTCAAGAAACCATGTTGCTGAAAAGCAGCATCGTGTCGTCCCTCTATCGCTATACTCACAGTTGCGGCAGGGGGCACAGCATGAAGCTCTGCCTGCGTATTCACAGCAGTAGTAGTAGTCCCCGACAGGGTTTCTACAGGTTGCTAACGTCCCTTCTGTAGCACCTAAGCGAAAGCATATACGTATACGTTTGTATGCAGCTGTATGGGGGAGTGAGGGGTTAGACATGCTCATTTATATACATGTGTCTTTGTGAAACTATCTTGCAGAAAACGAGAAAGCGTTATTATTTGCTTGGGGCAAAGCCAGTATTGCGGCCCTGGAGGCCATGTGGAGGGCAAGGAGCCTATGGCGAAGTCTGCGTACAATTCACGTAGAGCATCTCACGAATTTTTTTAGTGAAGTATATGGCTTTGGACAGAGGCCCGACCTAAGTGCAGCGAGTACGAACCACTAGTAGACTTAGAGGAGCTTGCTGTGTAGCTGTGCTGTTTTGGCGTGAGGCAAAACGGGGTACACTGGCACAGGGAAGCGAGCACGAGGCCGATTGATCGTTTTCCCGTGGATCACACAAGTTGAGAGCTACAGGAAGTGCACCACAGCGACTTTCTGAGAGCCATGTGCACAAAGCATAATAGTTGCCGATATACTGGAATAATAAAGTGCATGTTTTAAACAGCGCAAGAGGAATTCTTTCAAGTCCAGTTATGGTCTGAGGTGTGTATGTAGCTTGCCCTGCATCCTCCGCATTTGTGCTTTTCAGTGCAGGTAATCAACATTGACAGGCTGCGGCAGCTAGGCCAAGCTGCAATAAATGCTTTCCACGCCAGTGGTGGGGAAGCGCTGCAGCTGCCGTCCGTTTCTGAAGCTGTCGAGCCCTCAACTCTATCTCGCATTGAGTCCCCAGAAACCACACGTCCGGTGGATGCGAAGACCCTCCTTCGATTTTTAAACTATGTGGGAGAGACGATAATTCCAAAAAGTGAGACTATCGCTTCTTGCCATGCCTTTGCCGCGCTGCGAAAATGGAGGCCTTCATGTTACGATGCCTTTCCACACAGACCCTAGCAACCCATAGCAGGAGCGATTGTTGATTTCATCTCGAGTTTTGAAATTGAAGGAGCCATGGTGTTCCCAGAAAGTAAATGCTTGGTGAGTAGGAAAAACGATCGTTTTTTGAAGTATGTGGGAGAGACAGGCAAACACATACGCTGGCGGACTCTCACTGTGCGTTGCAGGCCAGCTTGAGTCATTGATCACTTCAAAACCTTTAGGTATACTACTGATTTTCTGCTGATTTCGTAATCTGTATTCCACAGACACCGCATGAGGGAGATAAAGCTTTACAAATATGTGTAGCTCGCACGCCGGCAGAATTTATTCCACGTTTGGGTGTCTAACAAGTTTTTCTCTACAGATAAGGCTTTGAGCATCTGGGAAGATTACGCCACTACAGTGCGATACCGCCTTCAAGTATTCTCAAAAGAGCAAGACGCAGGTTAGTCCTTCCCTTTTCTCCCCTAAGGAATCTAAGAATTTCACCTTCGGTCTATGGAATAAACTAGTGGATGCCTGGCTGCCTGCTTCAGTGGACGGCTACCGGAAGAAGCTTCGAGAGCAGTCCACCGATCTTTCTGGGAGCACCCCTGCACTGTCTTCAATGAAACGGCCAATAGGATTTCTGGAGGACGTTTTACTTTCTAGATATGTCTTAATCTCTTCATGGGCCGACAAGATACTTCTCAATATGGCGGAGAAAATCGGATCTTTTATGAGAAGAGAGCTAGGAAACGAGCTTTCTCTCGAGACGTTGGAAAATATAATGCGGCCGCAAATCTTTGAGGAACTCGTGAACATTAGTAAACTGCAGTTCCAGAGCGAGAGTGGTGAGCACGAATAAACATCAGGGAAAATAACTGTGCGGAGAATTGTTTTCTCATTGAATGGGCCTCTCGTCGAGAGTTAAAGGGTGCTGTCGTAGAAGTTTTGATTCGGGTTTTGCTTTTCATGCAGTGACAAATTGTTCCATTATAAGTGGCTGTTTCCTGCTACAGCCAATGCCTCATATCTTAGCTACTAAATTCCGGATATACGCTCGTGAGCGTGGGCATCTCTGTGCTGTCGTTTGATTAGACAAGGAGAAGGTCTTTGGAAGACTGTCGGCTTTACTGGCTGCTGATATATCTCAGCTGCAGGAGATTAGAAATCCAGGAAGAGTTCCCAAGAGAGAAGTCCTTATAGATGCCTTGGCTCTCCTGCGCATAAAGGGGAGAGATGTAAAGAGACTCGGTATGTGTCGTGCTGCTGATAGCCTAACTGCTGTGTTGTATTTGACCTGAGTTCAACACTGGCAGTTGGCAAGGGCTTCAATGCATGTTGGGTGAGGTTTATCTTCTTTCGCCTGTACGTGAGAATCATTTGAAGTTGACGCCGTGGTACTTTCGGCTTACTGTGATGCACACTTGCAGAGGAGCGTTTCCGCCTCCAGTATTCCCAGCTGTTGGAGAAGTACACGGAACAGCTGGTATCTGAAAAGGTAATTGACATGGAGGGGGTGCTGGACATCATTGGTCAGCTAGAGAAAATGCTGGGATCCATGGTTACTCCCCTGGTCGATCGCGTCATGGGCTTGGTACGCAAGGCACAGGGTGTCTTTTCAAGCCAGCATGATACAAACGAACACTTTCTCATCGATTTTAACGGTCTGGCAGAGTCGTTGGAAGCTGTAGACAATAACGAAGTCGACCAGCGTAAGCTTATGCGGCCTGTCTTGAAAGAGGCCCAACTGCCGCAAGCACACTGTACTGCAATATCAACTATCTCAAAGCTGTAGCCACAAAGATAAATTTGGAAAGTGATTCTTGAATGACGTTGTGCACTCACGTCTCTACTTGCAGCTGGCGGGTGCGGGCCTGATGGGCAGAGACATTGAGCCCACGATAAGAAACATTGTGATGGCAGCAGTAGACGGTACCCGCTACTCTGTAGAATGACTCCCCTTTAGGTTTGTTTCCCCCTAAGTTTCTTCCTCTCTCCATTGGTGTCACGCTGGTCTTGTGTTTCTGTGTCTTATTTTTAGAGGACGAAGCGGAATCCCTAATTCTTCATTCGCGAGACTCACCGCTGCATACCCCGCCGCCAATGGAGGAAATGTCTCCCTTGGTCAAGATATCAACCAGCTATTTTGCAAAGTGCCTTGCTGCTGTTGGCACCGCTAGTTTTTTCTTGGTAGAGAAACTGACAAACTGGCTGATTCCTGATGCACTGATAAACATTCCTTTGATCTTCTGGACGCCCATAAGACAAGGAGCACTGGGCATCGGCATCCAGGCTGCCCTGGCAAACTTCATTGGGCCCCAAGCAGATGAATACATCAAACTGGTGAGCGAACGACTGGGAGAGGGAGCAACAGATGTAGGAGAGTAAGGGGGCGCAGTATGGGTACCGCAGAGGAAATGGTATGTGGCTGGTGTCTTTTCTTTGGTGCGGGTAGTGGCGTTATGCGTTCATGTTACCGTAAGATTGTTTTCGCCCCTGATGGACTTCTCTTTTAGTCTATGTGTCTGTTTGTCCCTCCCCCCAATTCGGTTCTGTCGCAGGTGCAAGACTCTATCTGGGTTGCAGGAGTAGAGCCCTGGTTGGATAGTCTAAGACTACAGGTGGCGTCCTTGGATCGTTTCCTGAAGGGCATGGAAAGAGGTATCCAGTTGCCAGTCGACTGGTGGAAGCAGCTGCCCTTGTTGGTATTTGTTAAGCAGACCTTAGATGATATCAGGTCGTCTGTCTTTTACCCCAGCAACCTGCATACAATATGGCACCTTATCAAAGATGCCACCAGGTAAACTGCTAAGACCAGTGTTTTCTGTCTTGTGTCTTTATCCCATTGAGTGTTGGAAGCGGGCTGACAGTACAATCGCTCATCGTGATAAGAAAAAAGCGTTCTCTTCAGTATAATTCAAAAAATCCACTTAATTTCTTGCATGTGCTTCTCCTCAGACATAGTTGCAACAGCTCTTCATTAGTTCTGCTCGCTTCATCATGATAGTTCCGTAGCTGTATTGTTCTTGTTCAGCGCCTCGTCTGGCATATACAAACTCCTCATGGCGCCAGTCAAGAACTTGGGTGCATACGTGTACTTGCTTCTCGTTGAGCTTATCAACAGTATCCTTCCAGCTGAAAATGGTTAGGTTTCTTAAGCTTCGATTTAGCTTATGGCTAGCCTGGTTTTGGCTGCTGGTGGAATAGTCTTATTCTTCATATTGGATTTCGTCAGGAACTGCTGCAACACTACTGGTGTCCTGCCGCATCGTATTGCCACGTTTATCGCCTGTTTTGCAATTTTGTGTTTTTCTCTGTTTTGTGCGAAGGAGACTTTCTTGTGCCTCGTGAGGCTCTAAATAAGCGGTCTGCACAACCGCTGCTGGATATTGCAGTAGCTAACCCCAAGGACCTCATAAAATATCTTCATCGCCTCCTTCATGTTCTTTTAAAGGTTAGTTCCATTGCTGCTCCTAATATTTGTAATGGGTGCTGCAGGTAGTGTCTCTGCAGCAGCGCCAGGATGAGCAGTTATATGTATGTCAGTTTAGCCTTTTAGTCTGGAATAAGCGTTTTTTGGATTCCGAAGTTTAATAATCTGTCTCGGCACAATCGCAGGTATACGTTCCGATGCTCCGAGAGCTTTTCGATACCGGGATCCAATTGGTGCTACGCAAGGTAGCCTACCATGTGAATGCACCAGGTAACATGCAACATAATTCGAAATATAGTAAAACACCGTGCTTAGGCCTAGAACTACACTTTCTACATAGATATATGGAGGATATTATTCGCCGTTACGACGTGGGGCTTCCGACTTTAGCATGCTGCAAAACCTTAGCGCAAAAGCGGTCCCGGAGCTGCGAATCTTGTTCGACGTCTCTGCTAGTGGGTTTGCTTTTCTTGCATTCTAAGGCACCGCCACTCTCGAGCTCTGGCGCTTCATAAACCAAGCCGCTGGTTATGATCTAGATGGAGAACTGGAAGACGCCATGCGTGAAATGTTTTTTAGGATTGGAGATGAGGTCCTCCGCATGTGGCCCGCTATGCCAGTGGGAGATCCACAGCCCTGGCGCACAATGTAACTAAGCTTTACATTTTGGGCTTGGCACTTAAGCGCCATTCGCAGCGCCCACCACAATCCACTCAAAAGCCCCCGCATGAGCCTCCTAATGAGCAAAAGGGGTGTAGATCTGGCGCCATCTGGGATTCTTCAGAGGTTGCGCTTAAAGAAGACAGAACATGAGAGTGACCCGAAGTACCTGGAGTCACTCACGGTTGCGCAGCGTGCAGCCCATGGAGAAAAACGCATAGCGCACTCGTTGTAAAAAGGCTGCAGCTCACGCAATCACCTCTTTTCTTTAGCAGTAGGTAGTACTGTTCAGTACCCGCTTGAAACTCGATTACTTTACACTCTTTTAGCACCACTTCACACCCTGTCGTTCAAGCACAGGGTTGCGGCTTTGCTCCTCCCGAGTGCCAGAGGAGCCCCTTTGCATGGTAATCAAGCCATAGACGACAGAAGGATCTGTACCGAGCCTCCTGCGAGTTCCTCACTCGAGAAAAATGAGATCATCGGAGCGATGTCATGCGTGACTCGCCCTTCTATGCATACTGCAGTGATTGTTTCAGCGCATTTTATTTCGTACAGGTGTGTAGACACATGGAACGATGTATTAGGAAACGAGCTACAATAAAAAACAAATACCTCCAGGTGGGTCACTGATTCCACTCCATTTTCATTTTCTATCTTCTGCTGCAACAAAGCATAAAAGCTCTTCCTGAGCTCCTCCAAAAACGACGTCAACGTTCGTGTTGCTCCGTCGTCGTAGTACTCTTCAAAGGTTATGCAGGCCACTGATGAGCAAATCCATGGAACTTCCGCAGACGGAGACTTTAAGCTGTGAATACACAGCTGAAGTGTTTTCCTAAACGCGTCACCTTCTCCGTACAGGTGTTTCTCAAAAGAGGCAACGGATGTCAAGCCTCTTCTGACACCTCCCCATCTTGCTGCTGTTTCGCCCACTGGCAACACCATCACCTTTGCCCCACCTGGCAGACGTGGGACACCTGCCACAACGATAACTCCTTTGTGCTTATCCTGAACTCCCCAACGACGGAGCAAGCTGCGTACGAGCTCTTCCACAATCCTTAACTTGCGTTTAGCCTCCTTTTCCCCCCCTTGCAGCACAGGGGCGATGTGGACGTACACCAGAAGGCATAGTGGAGGGAAGTCATTGAAGTGAAATTCCTCCGGCATATTGGTTTCGAGAGGAAAGAAACAAGAGGCAGAGCTGGGGAAGCCACGACCATCTGAGCGGAGGAGAGACAACGACTGCTGCAGGCTTAGACAGGCACTGACTGTCTGCAACGCTATGTCCAACCCTGGATCTTCTTTCCCTGAATCCTTTAGCCCATGTTCCTCCACTCCTGTTCCTTCAAGACAGTCCTTGTCTTCTTCTCTCATAAGGTGCTTCAAATATGGATTGCTGCCAGTAGCTGGCGATTCACCCGAGAAGGGAACCATGCCGTCTACAGCCCTAAGGAACAGTATCTCAGGTGCCGAGGCAGCTTCAGTCCTTGTTGCCCCATGCATTCTTTTCGCGCACCGAATGCCTTGGCAGTTGCGACACAGGGAATGACACTTTGAAGAAGGCTGCCGGCTGCAACGAGATTTCTGCCGACAGGAAGGGATCCACATGTTTAAGCTGTGTACATGCAGCACTGCCACGTCTTGCGGGTTTTCTAATAAAAAGCTAGGACGAGGAGATACACAGTTAGCTGACGAATGAGCCAGAGAAAACAACACTCTAAATCGCAGAAGAACCCCCGCAGGCAAAGACATCTGGAGGAACGTCATCGGGTGTTCTGGGAAGCCCTTAGACGAAAAGAACTCTTCAATGAGCGCATGGAAAGAAGAAGAAATCGCCTGACAAATCGTCTGGATCGGGCGCACGGCAACTTTCGCATCAGAGGGATCCTTGTAGGCGGCTTCGGAAGAGACATAACACCCAGAGGGAAAAGCTCCCATCTGCTCATCAAGCCAGTTGTTAAGGACGTCGAAAAGAGACGCGCGCAAATCTTGTGGAACCTCGGCGTCAGCAAATGCTTTCGCTACATGAGCGCCACAGGGCAAACTTTCCCCTTGTGGTTGGTTGCAGCATGCTGTTACGTCTGCAGCAAGTATTCCCCTGCATTTGAGAGTGTTTTGGATTCGCACTTTCCACAGGTGCTGCCTTGCATTGCATGTGACCGGAGGTGCCTCCACTGAATCCTTTTCAATTCGGTTCACCGAAGTAGACCCAGCAGCTCCCTGTGTGCCCTGCTGTACATTCCAACCCTGTACTGCCGTTTTGACAAGATCTTTGTAGACTTCGAATCTTTGGTGCTCGAGCTCCTGCATCCCCAAACCGCATGGATTCGTGCTTCCATCCTTTTTTTTAGCTTTTGGCACGAGAATCCAGTCCTCCGGAGAGAGAAGCCAAATTGGAGCCACAGGGTCCTCACACTGGCAAACTTCCTTCCATCGGGTGATAGCAATTGCAGCTTCTGTATACAGGGGGCAGTCCAGAGTTAAAGTTTCGTATTCCCCTCCTGAGCACAAAAAGCCAAGGGAATAAATCAATGAACGGGTGGATTTGGAAGCTAAGCGCTTGAAAGTTACTGGCTCATCGTTGTGTGGGTACTCCAACTGTCCTAGAGTCTTTTCACATGTAAGCATTGTGTAGAGGCGGAGCCAGAGCGTGGTATTCAAGTAAATCTGCCCAGCCTCGCAGCGCATGTTCTGCATGGGAATTATCATCGACACGATAAGTTAAAGCAAAGGAAAGGCACAAGAAGTCTGCTCAGAAACGCAGGCAAACCTACCCTCGCCGCAAACATGGAAGTCGTATTTTCGATTCAAATCTAGAAAATGATCCAAAAGATCACTGATACACTTGCCAAGATTTCTACGTGTTAGCCCCATAGAGGCCGTTTTGACCAATACTGCATGCAACCCCACAGCGCACATCTCCTTCAAAAGGACTTCCTGAGCTTTGTGCCACAACAGGCAAATTGGCACAAGGCCGAGCCGCTGACAGCTGAAGAAGGAACATCACGCAGCAGCCACAGGCGGAATCGAGTGGAATAATATATCAAAACAATGGCACAAAGAACAGGGAATAACTGGTAAAGGGGGAGGAGGCACTAGGGTGCTGGGCGACGAAAGACCGACACATGTTCCAGTCGCCTCCGCTGAAATTCGGAAAGGATGGCTCCGCAAGTTACAGCTTCTATTTCTGGCATTGCATCCTGCAGGTGAAAAAAAGCAGCAAATAAATGTATCCTTATCAGACACGGTTTGATGTGCAATAGTCTACGAATGCACCCAGTTACAGGAAGCACATTTTTCACAGCCATGGTAGAACGATAGAAACACACACCTTTACTAGCACAAGGAGATCGTACAGGTCTTCCACTTCGTCACCTGGCGTTGTTTCGTAGCTCAGCGAGTTAATGAGGAGCGGGCGGCCCCTAATCTCCGAGCTAAACAGAGGAATCCCCATGCACTCGGCAATGGCACCAGTCACTCCCGTGCCCACAGACTGGTACATGTAGCTGTCAGCTTCCAAGGCATTGTTTCGGGGAAGGAGTGTAGCAATAGCGCATATTCTGTGGCCCAAGGCTACAGCACACTGCAGAGCGAAGACGCTATCCTTGCCCCCGCTCACTAGGCCCACCGCTTGTAGACCCATTGTGGCGGCAAGACGGCGAATGATCGGTGCAGCGGGCTATAGCTTACCAAGCCTAGCAGGTTATGAAACATATGAGAAGGAAAGAGGAAAGATGGGAAGAAAGAGTTGGAAGCAAGCACACAGAACAAGCAAAAGCAACCGAAATTAAATGCCGCCAGTGAGGAATCAAGAGAAGGCGGCATAATACGGCCGTCTGAAGCCCATTCCAGTCTCCTCCAATACAGAAACGCTTGTGACCGCGCGCATGCTTTATCGTTTATGCATCAAAGAGCTATTCTCAATGATGGTAAGGCCCCCTGCCTATACGAAACTAAGGAAAGTTGGCAGGAGAAGAGTTGGAGGAAGCTAGACAGCTCAGTAGTACAATCATGATTCTCCTTTTACTAAATTTCAGAAGTGGTTTACCCCCCAATACGCGGAAGGAACATCCGAGGGGGGAAGCGTCGACGGGGGCCCGTGTGGGCCCCCAGTTAGTTCGGTACCCAAATCCACAAAATTGCCCGGGGTGTTTCTCTGTAAAAAAGAAGGCGTACTGTTTCGCGGAGCTCATTCATTTTGTATTGAATATATGATATCAGCCTGCACCTAATTACCAGGGCAGGCGCTTATTTGCAAAATAGTCTCCCTCATCCTGCCCACCCTGATCAGACCTTAACAATGAGCAACTTTTGTTCATTTCATGGGTCATTATCATTCTAATTATGCGTAATATGGAGGGTGGCGCCCATTTAAGACAAGTACATAGAAACTTTCATGGCGCAATGAATAATCAACTTCGTTTAAATACTCTTTAAAGACGTACAACTGGAAAGAGCGGAATGCCCCAAACCAGTTGCCCTTGTATCATGACTTAGTAATTTATATCCAATCCCTTCATTTTGACGCATATGGCAGAAGTCTGAGTCTTTCGCTTGGAAACGCTTTTGCCCTTGTTTCCCTTCGCCTTGGAGGTATCAAGTGCCTGAATGCTGTACCCCTCATTGACAATTCTAAAACGCTGTCTCTGGCACCTAGATTTGGCCTCTGTTTTCTACCAAAGCACATCTTTCTGCAGTTTTCATGGGCAGAAACAATAAGAGCGGCCACTGTTGAAAATTTTGCTTCCTGTCCCGCTGCAATTGTTTTTATCTTGCTGCATTTAACGGGCGGTGGGGCTTTTTTGTTAAAACCTTCAAGAGAGGGGAACTCCTCAGCTACCCTCAAGGCCGAACTGCTCCGTCCAGTTGACATGCATGCGTAAGTCCTGCGAGCACGCAGACCGTATTCGAATAGGCCAATGAAGCGAATACAAAATGGGCGCATCATAAATTCGAATGTCAGACTGCCTATACAAGCGTTACGTACCTCTGGGCTGACAGAAGGCCGTGCATGGAACAAGGCGTTACGGAAGTCTTCCTGTGTCATAAAGTTCGAAGCAAAGTATTGAAAACGAATTGAAGCACCATAGGACACAGAAAGCATGTCACACAGCATTTCAGAAATGCGGAGTTAGCACTTGGAATGATTTCTGGGATACGTCCTCATCATATACAGGCCCGTCAGATTCATTCCTTACCACAGTAACCTCGGGAGGAAGCAATCTATCTCCGGGAACAGACATCAAGAGCATTTGCCGTGTCGTGGGGTCTGGGTCATCTGAATGCAGCAAGTACTAGAGACGGAGAGTAGCACTACCATGGGTGTACGCGCCTTTAAAACATTGCTCGAAAGGGGAAGGGACCGACCGACCGACCCTGCAAGGAAAGCACTCCCAAGGGAAAGTCTCGTTTTTCTAACCTGGTTGGCAAGGCGTGTAGAACGTGCGGCCGTTAAGCTGCACTTGCTTAAAGGCAGAAGCCGACCGGCACCGCCTGATAGGCTCAAATAGCGCGTCCCGTACAAGAACAGAAATGTCTGAGCCGCTAAACCTACAAAAGAGACAAGTGGACATGTTAGATTCAAATTTTTAGCCCACTCTGAGCCTCCCTTTAGTGCCTTGGTCGCCTTTCCAAGCCTCTATTTGTACGCTAGGTTCAGCGAAAATCCCAAGCGTAAAAAACGAACCCTTCCAATTGTCTCGCGAGGTGCTTGAAGTGCTCGTCAGTAAGATGGTGCGGAGTGCCACGGAGGCCACATCTTAACAACTGCTCTCTCGCTTGCATTTTCGGAAGAGGAATAAATATGCGCCTTTCGAAGCTGAGAAACGAATCACATGGAACATCTTTTTCGCGTCCGCTAAAATTAAAACGCATCGCTAAGGCGTTGTCAACCGATAAACAACATCGCAGGAGGCTCACCGCCGACGGATTGCCGCATCAAGGGCCCACGGCGTATTCTGCGAGCACACTGCAAGACAGGGAAATTCGACAGTATGAACTGATATCCTCGTCTATTATGCTTGCCTAGACAGTAGTACAGAGACGGAGTAAAGCTGCGATGGACATGAATGGGCCGTCCCTGTGAGACCCTAGTGAAAGTAGACGCTTGCGGCAGCCATCATACAGCGGCTTTCGTTGTGCTGTATCATTTGGACCCATTCAAACGGGAAGAATCGCAAGTGATTAAACTTTCTAATCCAGTGTTTGCTCCTACGGTAGCACCGAGAACGAGAACCTGGCTGAGGTCAAAGTTGATGCCTTGCATTTGAATCAAGAATTCTGTTTTCATTCGGCGAGACGATTCGCTATCGCTTTCTGATCGCGCTGGAATGAGACACGAAAACATCAAGAGAAGCCACTCGTGCTTTTCAAAATTTTGAACGTTTCAGTATAGTTCCTTGTAGCGACGCAACGCATAAAGGCATGATGAGAAAGGTCCAGCTAGTCGCCAGTGAGGCAGGTTCAAGGCAGAGGGAAGGTTTGCTTACATCCACACATGGAGTCAATTTCGTCGATAAAAATTATTGAGGGGCGTCTGTCCCTTGCCACTTCAAAGAGAGATCGAACGAGTCTGAAGTAAGAAGTCCCAAAATACGGGCACATGAAAATAGCAATAAGAAACTCTCGATTTGCCATTTCGGATAAGAATGGATCGCAATGGCGCATGTCATGAAGTCTTAAATAACCACTTGCGACTATTCGCTAGCTAGGAAGGTACTTGATACAAGTTTGCTGACTTGGGTTGCTTCTAGGTGCCACTAAGGCGCGGAAGCCCTGCAGCTCACGAAATTCCCCAACTCACTTTTCGCTTTCCCCTTGCCACTTGCTCACCAAGTCAGCCGCCGAGACTGCAGACACAAAGCAACACAAGAAAGATGTAGCAGACGGATGGCTGCAGTAGTTGTGATTGCGCCAGTGTGCAGAAAGCATACCTAGCATTGGACAAAACGCCACTATGAAATACCCTCCCAAGATAAGCACTTGTCGGCGTGCAACAAACAAGCAAAAGCCACACAAATGCAAACGCGCTACCACGGCCGCCAACATGAAGAACAAACACGAATAGGAACATTGCCAGACTCCGGCTCCCAGAACAGGGTTGCTTTGCATAGGGAGCACTTGGAGCAACTCCCTATGATTCCTGGTGGAGGATTGTAGGGATGGAGCTGCTGCCAATTGATGAATCACGGATATCGAAAAATCAAGTCGTCACAAACAGCACCAATCATTCAACGCTAGACGCCACGCTAACGCATGAAGCACGCAAAACAAGTAGTTTACCTGAGAGGATAGTCGCGTCCGCTTCGGCCGCAAGGGCCTTCGCTAGAAAAGTCTTTCCTGTTCCTGGGGGCTGCGTATTACAAAAGCAGGTCTACCTTGCCATGTCGCTGAGAGCTAAAGAGATTATACAAATCACAGTAGATCCATGAGCAAAAGAGCCGCGTGCAAAAACAGCAATGCGGTCATCAAAACCACTACCAGACAGGAGCGCCGTGCTTGTGTACACACTCGCAGTTCCACTGATCCATTGTAAACCAGACACATCAGCAACCAGGCGGGCGGCAGCAAGCAAGACTAAGCATCGTTACAGCACTCAGAAAGACAGAGTTATCAAGAGAAAATTCAGAGCTATTGGCAGCAGCTCACCCCGTAGAGCAAGATGCCCCTCCATGGCCGTCTCTCCCCTGAACGCAATCGCAAGCGTCCACGGTTACTTCTAAACTCGGCATGCCAAAGCCTTTGCCTCACATAAACATCTCAAGGTGTTTATTCTCACCAGTAAACAAACTAGGAAAGCGCGAAGGGAGAATGATAGCCTCTTGTAGTGCCTCTTTCGCGGACTCGAGCCCTGTTTACATCGCAAAGTGAGTGTGAGCAAACACATGCAGTCCTTGATACTTTTCAAGTCAACCTTGCTGATCCATTATGTAGTGCCCATGCATTGTTCCTAAACCCGCAAAGACAAAGGCGATAAGGGATACGGGCTAGGGTACTGCGACGCGTGAAACAGCCAACTACGCGTCCAGCACTCACCCGCCACATCTGACCATTTGAATCTCGGTTTTTCAGCTAAAATAGCGTCTGCGCAAAATAATATAGATGCTTTAAATGGAATCATCTTTCAACTCTTGTTTACTGACGCTCAAAACCCCAACCCGTGTATCTTGCATCGGCGTAGTGGAGAGCCCGGTGCCATGTACTACTGCACGTGCGCGTGTGCCATTCTCACGAACGATCTTTTGCTTGATTCTTTCTCCCTCTGCAGCGTCAGCCTCGGGCCTTGACGTGCTATTGCCTGCTTCCGCTGCGGCGTTCATCGGAGTGCCGTGTGGGGAAAGACAAACGGGTGATCGCGAGAGGGGTGTTGCAGCTGTTGTTGGCGGGGCTGCCCTTTTGACAGGCTTAAGTGGAGAGGTAGAGGGAGCTGGCGACGTTTCGCTCAGTAGCAGCCGCTGACGTAATTGTTGTTTCGGCCCACGCAACAGTAAGTGTTGCTTTAACTGCTCTGCACGCGTAATGTATTCTTCCATTCTGCGGTATATGCGGTCTCTTAGGGTAGGGTTTTGTTGGACTGCGAGTATAAAGGCCCACATAAGTTGGCCAAAGAGTATATAAAGAAAGCAGGGAAATCGCACACAAAAATAAGCACGAGAAGATCAGGAAAGTACATAAAGACCCCATTTCTGTTGACTGACGCGTGCGCGGCGAATGCAAAAAGACATGCGGCACGCGCTGTCTAACAGAGGAGATTCGTTTATTAGGAATACCAAAGGTTAAGCAACAACAAGTGGCATATGCCAGACTTTGTATTTTTCTAATAGTCCCCATAAAGATAGTTTGCTACTAGGCTGCGGAATGTACGCAACGGGTTGGACATAGACATTTTTAGGCATTGCTGATGAGAATGTTCTATTCCCCCTCCTCTATTCATCCTTGTAATTTTCGCAATTGCGTGTGTTAGGTATGATAAGACTGCCGCGATGTGATGAGGCTTCTTACACTTGCAGATAATTCTCCAATGTTCCAGAGCCTGCTTGTAGAGTTCAAAGGCCGCTAAATAGTGACCAGCCGCGTCTTCTGTAGCCGCCTCATTGCTGAGATGGACTGCCGTACGAAGGCGCTTATCGGAAAGCCCGAACTCCATTGGGCATAAGACAAGAGGACTAAAATTCAATGCAAGACGTGCAGAGCTTTGCTGTGGATGGTGGACTCGACGCTGAGTAAAAAAACAGCGAGAAATCCGCTACCAGACCGCACGATACGTCTACAGAACGACGCCGTGGGACAGAAAAAAGCCAGGCAGATACAAAGCGAAAAGTGATCATAGCCTTCACACTTGAACACTGAAAGGGCGATCGTGCAGACAGTCGAAGCACCGCTTTACTGGAATATTCTGCATCACATGAGTCTTCTTCTGTGGCAAGAAACAATGCGACATATTTGTTGATTTAGTAAAGGCAAAGCAGCAATACAATCCGCAGCGCCTAATACAAGGGGCCCTCTTGTCTGTCTTGTTCGAAGCAGAGGAGGGCCAGCATCCTTGGGCTTTAGGACCCCTGCAAGGCGGAAAGTAAAGAAATTTCTACTTTAAAATGAAACGGAAGATAATGCTTGTGTGGTTATGTAGAAAAAGTCCTTGTGAGTCTCCGCAAAGGTAAACAGCAACCGCTAAACACCAGATCGTGTTTGAGCGGTGGGGTCTCTCCAGTGCCAACAGCCCCAGGAATGAAAACGGCGCATCCCCGCGATCTTCTTCCTGCAAAGTAGCTTTCCAAACAACTGTTAGCTTTTACTGTAACAAGCCACCGTTCTCGTCAATGGCGCCCTTGGCGCAGTACACCAGCAGTTGGATCGTTTTGTGAGTTATGATTTCTCCCTGGTTGTCAAGTAAAAAGGCGGCGAGGATCTCTGAGGCTCTGCAGCACATATGCTCACATGCGCCAAGTTACTTACGTCAACGCTTTACACTTACAAAGACAGAAGATGACTCGGCCTTGCAACAAACGATCGGCAGCTGCCACCACAACCTCCATCAATGGTTCCGGAAAAGTCAAAAGACCGAAAGAGCAACGAGGGCATCAAGACAAGTATACAGAGGAAGCGTCTTCCTCATCAGGCAAAGGAAAGAGGGTAGGCGAAGCAGAAACCCATTCTCTGTATGATCTCTTGGGAGTATCAAGCGACGCAACCCCCCGGGAGATAACTGCGGCGTATAGACGGCGTGCCTTAGTGTGCCATCCGGACAAAGTTCGTCAGAGGGAAAGAACTAAAATAGAAGGAGAAGATGGAGGGAAAGGGATGAAAGTTAAGTATGATGACTCAGCACAAGTGCTATCTGTAGAAGAAGCAACTAAGCACTTTCAGAGGCTGCAGGCAGCATATGCTGTGCTCAGTGATCCAAAAAAACGAGAAAGATATGACCGGACAGGTGAGCCTTTTAACCGCTTGGGATCCACCTTTATTTCGAAGCCCTTTACGCCTGTGCACATACCTTGGCGGAGGATACGACCTCTTGCACCAATCTCACCACATGGTGTTCTACTGGCTCCACGAACTTGAATTTGTTTTTTTTTTTTTAACTAGGAGAGACTGGAGAGGACCTTTTGGAGGGTAAATCGTACGAGGAGGCGTACCGGTACTATAGGGAAAAATTCCCAGAGGTGACGCAAGAGGCAATAGACCAATTCAAAGCCAAGTACTTGAACAGCGAGGAAGAAAAGGAGGATATTTTAGACTTTGTGAACAAGTATGAGAATTCAATTGATTGTAGTGGCTGAGAAGGATATGTAGTCTCATGGGAAGAATTCCGTACAATTTTTTTTAAGGATGCGGAAACCACTTCTCTCACCCCACAGGCTTATTTCTTCTGGCCCTGTCTGTGCTTCGGTAGGTTCCGTGGGGATCTCACTCTCTTCTTCGACTTTATTCCTCTAAGCGAGCCCAGCGATTGGAAGCGATACAAGAGTATCCTATCCCTTTTGTTGGAGGAAAAGGTATTTTGGTCTGCAACATACCTAACATATCTGCGAATGCAACCTTTTTATACTATTTTAGGGGCAAGGAGGGAAGAAATCTGTATGCCGTGTTCCCTCACTCTCCTCAAATGTACTACAAAGCGTGCTGATGTAAAAGCGATACCTTTTATCTGAGTCCAAAGGCAAGAGTTCTCTTGTCACCAGCCTGCTCTCGTCTTCTTTCAATTTTTCGTTCATCCATGGAAGGCCTCTAGGGAGCCAGAAGCGAATCAGTTCAATCTGTAGTGTATCGATGTACATGGAAGAGCACGCGGGCATCCATTATTCGAACAGATGAACCTTTTGTTCATTTTCTTGTTTCTGTCCGAGTGCCTGTGATTTTCCGTTTTGCTTCAGAAGGTTAAACGAACCGCTGCACTTGAGGAGACAATTAGAAGTTTCGACATGATCGCCGAGAAGTTCACGAAAAAGACCAAAAAGGAAGAAAAGTCAATAAACACATATCCCTAAGAGCAGAGACGCAGCTTTGCCAAAAGAGAACGATACTAACGATCAAAAGCAGCAAGAGGGATATATGCTTCAAAATAGACATAAGGGGGAAGAATAGGTCCAATGTCCACATCTACAGTATCTTTTACTAGACATATGCTAAGTTTGTTGTTTAAAATGCTTTTCCTTGCAACAGTTGCAGTTCACATTCCAAAAACGCGTGAAAACGCAGCCAATCTTTCGCTGGTTTGTACTCTATCTGGTATATGTTTTCAGGGAGGCAGCAAAGGGAGGCAAAAAGAAAATGGACACTTCGAGTTTGGCCCTTGCAATCCTCGTAAGCACCTCACGAGCAATACTTGAGAGAAAGGAAGCAGAAGTCAGCGTGTTCCCTCGATTTCCAGATGATTGCCTGTAGTGGCCCAACTTCTATCACTGCTTGCTGGATAATGCATTTATGGAATTGTGTACTCTTTTATTTCGCACTACACATCTGCCGCCAATGCGAGAGTGTCTATGCACATTATGGGGCACAAACCACAACATGCCTGTAACTCTTACCCACACAACACAGAAATATACGAGCAGCCAATGTGACGACGGACTCTGCGGCGTATCGACCTTACGCTCAATTCCGTTTGCTGAAGCCGTGCATAGACAGTTTGGGCAACACATGTGCATGGAACTCGGTGGATTCACTTGCAAAGTTGAAACTCAATGGTCCCTTCTAGGAGCACAGCTAGTCGCGTCCAACAACAAACATGCGTCCTGCCGTTTCATTTTCTGCACACGGTTCCATGCACGCATGCATTTTCTGCCTGTTTCTTCACTCCAGTGGACAAGGGACCCTGACATCCAGGCCCACTAGTGAGAGTGCGAAGAACAATCACAGCTCGCTTTGTTTCGTTCTGCTTGCTTGCAGGGTAACATGAGCAAACGGGAGGAGGCGGGCAACCGGTTCCTGAGCTCTTTAGAAGAGAAATATGGGAAGAAAAAAACTCGGAAGTAGAACGACGCGAAATAGGGTAGGGGGTGGCATAAATTCATATTCTGTAGTTGATTCAACTCGTATCATTTGCTTTCTTACGTCCTGTGTTTCCTCTTTCGCCTGTTGTGGTATGCCCCCCTCCTGTCTCTACGTGTCTCCGTGCCTCGTCTGTATATATAACAGAATAATAACGGACCTACTAGAAGCTTCAATTAAGTTCATTTTCTAGACACTCATCAGAATGGACATCGATGCGCGAGAGCAAGCGAATGCTCCCACTTTTTTGTGGGAGGCTTCGCCAATACCGCAAACGTCGTGGAGGCAAAAAAAGAGGCACGCGCAAATATGCTTCTGACTCCCCTCTACCACTCCTCAAACAATAGCCACACACCATCCGCAATCGCCTATGCTCGCCACTAACCAAAACCATAGTCAGCCCATGCCAGGATTATAACTGCAATGGAACCCTATTCAAAGAGAAAAGACCCAGTGGCACACATTACAGCAGAGTAAAACTAGGGCCGTCCCTCTCATTTACAATAACGGAGGAATTTTCCGGCAATACTGATGCCCTGTCACCTCCATCTGTGCAAAATATGTTGGTTCTCCCACTGTTGCTGCACCTCAAATGGTTTGCGGCATTCTGGCTTCGAACCATTTGTATGCTCGCTTGTTGGAGTACTGCCCAACTTTAATGTAACACTTTAGGAGAGTTCATATTTTCCTCTTCTTCTCATTCCTCGTTAACGGAGTACCGGGGCGCGCGCGATCCTGCACAAAGAATCAGCTGAATGTGCAACTCTACTCAATAAAATGAAGTGTAACGTGTTCCTGAAGCCTTGCCATAGGCTTGCAGCATTTAAAACGGCCCTAACGACCCGTACAACCCGTGTATGCTCATTTTCTGCTATCTTCACCTTGCGTGCCAAAACGTAGAGGGGCGCAAGAGCTGCGTGTGCAGATTGAACCTTTGCTTCTAGGGAAAGTCTGCAGGTGCGCCCACATCAAAAAAGGAACACGACGCAGACATAATAAGAAACGATAGACGCAGGAGAAAGTACGCAAGGGAATGGATGCACATGCACCTGGAGATAGTGAAAAGCGGAATTAAAGGCAGAGTGCAATATAAGGAGACACGATAAAAAGGCCTAATTCTGCGTCAAGCGTCCAAAATGGGATGTAAGCAAGCTTACGCGGAACGTGGATATTCCATTGTCTCAGCGGACGACCTCTGCATGTAGCAGTTTCATAAAGCAGAACAAAAAATTTCCTCCAAAATTTGTCATATCCCTCCCATCCACTCCCTCTAACTTGCTTCGATTACCTTCTGCTTTAAGGTATTCACTAACAGATTGATGCATTCATAGTTCAAGCATAACATCCAGTCCTCACGTGTTTCTGGCTGCGGGCTGATAGAATAATGTCTTTGGCTGCTTTCTTTATCCTCGTGCCATCATGCAACGGTGTGAAGCCTTTCTCATCGTCTCTTTTGAGAGGCCGTGATGAATCAAAGTACCCGGCTTCAAGCCACCGCAGCATAGCCAAAGTGGAGAAGGGGCCCTGACACTGCATTAAATGGCAAGGATGGGAACACCAAGTAATGATTCTAGGATGCCAGTACATACCGCAGAACAGCAGGGGAGGGAAGCCAAAGGGAAGCATTTGCATTCATGCCCATGTATCTAATACGAACTACACAGTGGAATTCCTCCAAAAGATAGGGGTTCACGGATTCAGCATCCGACAAGTAGGCAAAAGAGTGAAGGAGGGAAAGACAAATGCGACGAGACGCGGAATGGGCTAGAGAAAGAGCAGCCGGATATTCACATACACCAAGTACCCACGTCTGATCAAAAGCAAAGCAGCGAGTACTGAGAGAAAGGCAGTCACGGGGCAAGCTAGAAGCAGCGCGAGAGGAAGAAAGCAGAAAAGCCGGCCTTGCCAAATACGGATAAATAGAAGCAGTGGCAGGCAGACAAGATGGATAAATGGGAACTTGACATACAGTGCAGATGAAGGAGATACAAAAACGCACAGCATGAAACAAAAAGTTTGCGTGTGCGAAGGAACAAGGCGTGAACTACCTTGTTGTATGCATCCAAATAACACCAGGTGTGGGCTGCTTCATTCTCCTGTGGGTCGAACAGCGGTTCGGGAACTGCACATAACTCCTGCAACAACTGAAAAAGCACGAGAAACGCCACAAAAAACAAATTCAGCAACAAGCAACAGACGAAAAGGGAGAAATAACCGACTAGCTCTAGAGGATAAGAAATGTGCTCATCTTCTTTGTGGTCCTCTGCAGCCAGCACAATAAAGACTCAGCAGGTATGTGCCGGTTCACAGAAGATCTTGCACTAAATAAGCATACCGAGCTCTTGGTCCTGCTGTATCCCTGCTGCTGCGGATCCCCTTGCTGGGCCTGCTGCTGTCTGGGTTGCTGCTGCTGCTGCCCGGTGTCTTGAGATGCATATTCATTAACGGAGTGGCCATCGTCCGCAGCGCAGCTGTCTGACTGCTGCAGCTGCAGCGCTGCAGCGAGGTGCTGCTGCTGCAGAGGCGTAGGGCCCTGGAGCAGTTGCTGATGTGGTTGCTGCTGAGACGTGGAGCTCTGAGGTAGCTGCTGCTGCGGCTGCAGCTGACTGTGCTGCTGCTGTGGCTGGGTACGCTGCTGCTGCTGTAGCCTTGGTTGTTGCTGCAGACTAGCGACAGAAGCAGACTGGATCGTTTGCTGAAGGGACAAAAGAGCAGGCAACGCCGCAGGGTTGTGCTGCTGCAAGTGCTGCTGCAACTGTTTCAGCAGCTGGGTGGGATCTCCCGCCTCATGGGTTGGCTGTACAGCAGTGGCTGTAGCGGCTGCTGCTGCAGACCGCAGCGACTCCAACAGCACGAGTTGTTGCTGCGAAGATTCCAGTATGGAAAGTGGATTCTGAGGACCCTTGTTGGCATTCTGTTGCTGCAGCTGCAGCTGAGCCCCCATTGCAAGCCCACGAAGCAGTGCTTCCGATACTGCCCGCTGCTGCTGTTGCTGTTGTGGAGGTACTGCCACAGCAGCCGCTGCTGCTGCCTCTGCAGCTGTGGGTAGGATCCCACTTTGAGCAGGTAGACTTGCATGTTGCGGGTGCTGCTGTTGCTGTTGTGGTGCTGCCAGCAAGAGCAGCTGCATCGCCGCATCTGCGGAGAGAAGTGGCTTGAACTGTTCATCCCCATCGGCGTTGACCGCGGGCCCATGTTGCTGCAGTTGCTGGTGGATCTGCTGTTGATCGTGCTGTTCCTGCTGTATTTGGAGCTGTTGCACATGCTGGCGTTGCTGCTGCATGCGTTGCTGCTGTTGCACATGCTGCTGCTGCTGCATATGTTGTTGCTGCTGTTGCACATGCTGCTGCTGCTGCTGCATATGTTGTTGCTGTTGTTGCTGCTGCTGCACATGCTGCTGCTGCATCTGATGTGGGTGAGAAGAATTGAAGACGAGGCTGCTGGTATGCGCTGGAGAATCATAAACAAAATTCTGCATGGATCTGCTTGAGGGGGGCTCACCAGGGGCCTCGTCCTCTGTAGGTCCTTGCGAGCTCACCGGATGACGGGGAGGCACTTGGCCCCTCGGAGGAGGCACAGCCAAATACGCTCCTGTAGCGCCTGGGGGCCCCTGGGGGCCCCTAGGGGGCCCCCCCCTGTTGTAGGAAGGCTGCAGGGGTGCGCCCTCCCTGGGACCCGGGCCCCGACTTGGGGGCCCCATTAGAGCCTCTTTAGGAACTGCGCCCGTGACAATGCAGCGGCTGACTGCCGCTGCTGCTGCCTCTGCTGCTGCTGCTTCTGCTGCAGTTCTTGCGTTCCATGCGGGAGGGGGGGCCCCCGAGGGAGGCCCCAACGGTCTTCGGCCGAAAGAAAGCTCCGCGGACCCCAAGGGAGGCTGCTGGGGCCCTAGAAAGCTGCCCCTCTCTGCGCTTGCAGCAGGCGGCTGCGGAAGGACCCCTGAAATTATAGTGCCCCGCCAGCTGGTGCTACCGTTCGGCCGCCCCTCTTCGGGATCCGACACGAAACTTTGAAACGTCTGAGGATGGGGGGCCCCTGGGGCCGTGGCGCTCCCTGGCCGCGGACCCACAGGAAGTCCCCGACCTCCAGGAGGCCCCGGAGGCCCTGGAGGCCCTGGGACTCCAGGGCCTCCAGGGCCTCTAGGGGCCCCAGGAGGCCCTGGAACTCCTACGCCTCTGGGGGCCCCAAGAGACCCTCGGCCTCCTGGGCCTCCAAGGACTCCTGGGCCTCGAAAGGCCCCAGGACGCCCTGGAGCTCGAGGAGCTGCTCCATGAGGCCCTTGACCTCCAGGGGGCCCAGGAACTCCAGGAGGCCCAGAAGCGCCGGTGACTTCAGACACCCCGGGGCCCCTCGGCGGTGGAGGCAGGCCTCCCGAAGTGTTGACTTGAAAGTGACCCTCCCCACGTCCCCCATCATGGAAAAGCTGGACACCATGCGGGGACCCCCGCTGTGACGGGGAGGGGCCTCCTATGGATGGCGGAGACCCGTCGGAGGGTACTCCTCGTGTTAGGGGGCCGCCACCCCGGTGGTACTGCGCACTGTCATACGCTAGGGGAGATGGCCATGACGAAATCGCTTCATGCTGGTGCGCAGGAGGTGGCCCTCCACATCGGCGATCAGCCTGAGAGGGCCCCCATGCGTCCAAACTGCCGAATGGTGGAGGTCCCTGGTGCCCATGGCTCTTAGGGGGCCCCATTCCCCTTGGTCCGCCTTGAGGCATGCTTTCAAGATGGGCCTGTCGATTGTTAACGATATCAGGGGTGCTTTCCCAAGAACTCGGGACGGTCCTTGGCTGATGAGGAACCCCCGAGCTGGCTTTCCCGTACCCTTCACTACCACCGGCGAACGGTGCATGGCCCCCCATGGTGGGGAGTCCGCACTGGCTAGACTGAGTGGCAGGTGGTGGCCCCCATCCTGAGGCCGTGCCAAACATAGGAGCGCGACGGGGCACTACGGGAGGGCCTCCTCGCTGGCTAGGGCCCCACTGAGGGACGGGGGCCTTATTATCCACAAAACCTGGCGGCGATGAGCCAAGTGGCCCTGCATGAGCATTAGGAACGGGCTCTGGGCCGCTAAATCTGTGGTGCTTGCCGCCTTGGGGGGGGCCCTTCCATGTGGACAGCTCGCATGTCTGTCCCCGGGTGTACGCTGAGGCGTTATACGGATGCATTTCCCTCCCTCCCTGTATGTTGATTGCTGTTTGTGGTGGCTACAATTGATTGCTAAAAGCTCAAGAGGTGGAGGGTTGAAAGCGGCTGCGCAGCTTAAACGGCAGGGGCGGTTGCATTACTCCTCAGCCGGGTGTATGTAGACTAGAATTGCTGCCCTTCAGCCAGGGGGTCTTTGGCCAGCACACAGATGCCCTTCCCCTTTAAGTGCAAAGAAAGAAGAAGAAATAAAACAGATATGAACTGCAACCACGCCAAAAGAAAAGCCACCTGGAGAACGCGCTCCTACTAGAGGCTGCCGACGGCGCGACACCCGGGGGGGCTATTCTGGTTTGCAAGCACCTGGGAGATGCATGAAATGCATTTTCAAATAGCTGAAATAATGAAGCATTATGGCCCCAAGAACCTGGACCGTCTATGGTGTATTTCGCCAAAACTTGTTGTACTCTCATAGGCTCTGCTGCAGCAGCGGCGTAGGGCTCGCTGAACACAGAGACGTTTAATTCTGCATTTCAGGCCGCAGTGACATTTTAAAGGGGCTTATTTTGTTATCTTCGTTGGGCTTTGCACGCGAGGCAGCCGTCACTCACTTCTGAAGTACCTGTGAATGTGCATCCCTGCACTCCGATTACTGCAGAACCGCAAGCGTCATCTTGTCTATCTATAATCTTCCTTTTCATTCCATATCCCTCTTTTCCCATATCTCCTTCCAATGTGTTCATTAAAGGAGTTCCACAGCTTCCAGTGTCCCCAGCGTGATAAAAGTAAGGAGCAGTATTTTCGGGTTTACGAATGGAAGAACAGTGTAACGCCCTGGTTCGAGAGAATACGCAGAGGTATTGCATGGGTTTTATCTGCAATAACTAGATTGGGTAAAGGTAATTTCTCCAAATCACCGTGGCAGGTGACACGCAGAGTTCAATGTGTAGAGTAAGCCAAAGTGCAGGATCGTTAAGGGATAAGTGCCTTGTTTGTCATGACGCAAACGGCAATCTCCTTGAAAAGAGAAGATTCCCTTCACCGGCGGTAGGCCTAAGGTAGCTCACAATCCCGAGTCACTAGGCAACACGAAAGCCCTGAGTAAGGCAACTCGGCAGGGTAGTCAATAAACTCGGGTGCAGGCAGGTAAAGGTTGCAGCAGGGACTTTCGTCTTTGGCCCCATGGTTTTACAGCTGACAGATGCCGCACCATGAGTCATGGTATAAGGGCCTTCTAATAAGTGTTCGGGCGCAGCTAGCTGAGGTGCCGTGGTGAGTTACCTGCCGTGGCCAGGATCTTGAAGTCACCACAAGAACAGTCAGCTATTTATTACTACAGTGCCTGTCCATACACCCACCAATGTGTCTGCTCTTCGCCTCTTCTTCATTGTAAACATACGGTGAGCTGAAAATCCGAGTTGCCTCTAACAGGGGTGGTGAAAAAAGTGATAAAAGTCAGTTTTGTGCCCCAACTCTGTATATATCATCCACTAATCACATGTGCCATCCTTTCAAGCTTAGGGTTACTACATAGGCTCAGCTACAGGGCGTCTAGCTGGGTTTTAAAAAAGAAGGAATTTAGTTTTTCCACGAATACAGGGTGTAGCCGTCAACGCTGCACTCAAACACTTGCGACTACATTAGTTATGGCTTGTATTTGTAGTATTCATATACCTAATTTGCTGCAGAATACTTCTATATCGGTACAAGCAATGTTGTGTGCGTGTGCACCAGATGGTATGTGCAACTGGCTGTAAATACTCATAATGCCTAAAAGGTTCGCCTCTGAGCACCCTAGCCGTCCTTCCCCCGTCATCTCAGGAACTCTGAGAGGCGCGGAGGGGAAAAGGCTGGAATTCTTTTAAAGATAATTGACAATTCATCAAAATGTTTGTATGGAGTGTGAAGTCAAGTATTCTCCCTACTGAGGCCTTCGTTTAAGCTTTACATTTTGGTAGCACTGCATAGCTCGATGCTTTTGCTCCCCCTTCATCCACTCGTTGTGGAAACAGTAGCCCAGCTTTTCTAAAGATTTGTCTAGACTTGATGAATATAATTGGCACCTAATAATATATTAATCTCCGGCAACAAGGTAGGGGAAGAAGCACTCTCTTGCGATGGAAGTAGATGGTGTCGCAGTGCACATTGAGGAGGCAACAACTGTCCTGCAAGCTGATGTGAACACAGTGGCTCCACAAATGGGAAAAGGTATGGTGCCTTAGCGGGCAAAGCGTTTTTGAATGCTTGCTTTGAGGTCATACGTATAAGAAAGGTATGCTGTCCGTCAGGATCGTCAATTACTCGAAGATTTCATCAGCCGCTTTGAGATGTACTGTGGTATGTACTCCGCAGATGAGGAGAAAGAGGTTGTCATTCGTGGCCCGCTAATTGGGAGAGGAGCATCTCAAGTGTGGCTTAATTCTTGAAGAGAACGTCGTCTGCCTGTAGGAATTACCACGATTCAAGCCTTGTTTCAAGCCCTGATCTATTGGTTTGTACCAAGATCTTCTCAAACGTAAACTTTGGAAGAACTGAGAACACTGAAGCACGGCAATCTACTAATACATGAAGCGTACTCAGAGTGTTACTTCAGATGCTTGCAGGATAGGCAGCGATTAGTCTCCAAACAGCTGACCGTTGGGTCTCCCGTAAATGATATACTGCTTGAGATTTTAGAGAGCAATTTTGCCAACCTCAATCGTGTTTGGCTCGGAAGGAAACTCCACGTTGGGACTTAGAGCCTATGGATGGGGAGGCCATGTCAACCGAGCCTAGTTTGAAGTCGGTAGTAAATGAGGAGACAAACTCATGGGGTATTCGCGCTCCTGAGCATTCTCAGACAATACCGAATAACGTGTATGCTTGTATTGTGGGGATTCTGGTTATATAATACGGAAATGTTAGCGCATGTAAAAAAGCAAGAAAAGCTGCACAACGGCCATGGGCCCAGTGGAAGCACCCTTCTCGACGACCAAAACAGCGCGCCAAGGAAACGGCAACCCTCCAGGCAGGCTGCGGCGCAGTGAAGAGAGTTACCCAGGTTCGAGCCGCAGTTGGGATCCGCCAAGGCTCGATTCTGTGACAATACAAATTCATAATAATGGCCAGGAGTTGCTAGCTATAGTTGACGCTTGATGTGAAATAGGCCTAAGCCTTGCGGAGGGACAGAAGTGCAGTCTGCCTACTTATTATTTTGGCACAGTCCACTTTATTCAAGTTTGCTGACGAAGAGAATAACGCAAAGATTGGCAAAGCTACAGCAGTTAACTCATCAAATTGGAATCGACTTCTATCAGCCTGGCCCGTGACTACAATGTTGGACCCGTGCACCATAACGAAATCCTAGGTATGCCATGAGAGACCCAATGGAAGGCGCGAATGCGGCACTAACGGCGTGTTATGGAGCTTGGTGCTCCAGGAAAGGGGGGCAAGAAAGCAACCAGCCTCGGCAGCAATGTCCATGCCATCTACTATGAGCGCGTAGAGTCAAAGCCTCAACAAGGGGTTCCTTAGAAGCGCACCGAGAGAACATGGTCTTGAGTTTGCATACCGTCTTACAGGCTGTGCAGCCGGTTCATAATTTCGGCAATCGATGAATTAAAGGCTAGGAACTGTATTGTAGAGATACAAGCAGTTAGAGGATGTGCTAAATAATTACGAGCTTCCCGCAGGGTGATCAACTGCTGGTCGTTCAACGCACCGCATGAACTATCATCCAATCCAGCCCCAAGCTATTTTCCGCAGCAGCAGAAGCGGTCACAGTATAAAGAGGATATCAATCGGCAGGTAGATGATTTGTTGGAGAAAGAGCAAACTGAAGAAGTCGACAGGCGCCTTCGGGTATAGCCGCGGGACCATGCCAGGAAAAACGGAGGACAGCGCATGTGGGCTGACTTGGAGCTCACAAACACGCTTACTGCCAAGTTTTGGACAGGCAATGCTTTTGGTATACTACATGGATCAACAGTTTGCTTGGCATCCGACTTTAAAGAGGCATTCATAGAAACTCCTAGTCACCTAGTCCACAGACAGAGGACTGCGTTGCACCCTCACACTTGCTGACTTGAGTAGTAATAGCACCCATTGATGAAGGGAGCTAGTTCAGGTGTAGAGCATGCTCGACGAAAAGACAATTAACAAAGCAACTCGTGGAACACCGTCCACGGCGACTAGTATTAATAATCATACAGAGGCGCAAATTCTCCCACGGCCAACGAAAACCGCAACTGTTCCCTCGGCAATCACTGAGGGTGGCGCTCTCTACTACATTTCACTAAACACATTTTTCTGTAGTGTGTCTTCGGTGCTCGATCCTTCTATAATCCAGCACTTATAAAGCTCTCTAGGGAGCCTTCGCCTGGACATGGTTCACCTGCCTGCGCGACGAGGCCCAGACACATTTCAGGTACGTCTAAAACTTTTTGATGAAACCAACCTTGGTAGGTCTGTAAAAACCTTCACTCTGCAGGGAAGTCGATACAGAAGAAGGATCACCGACTTGTGGGAGTATTGCAAATGGCCCTTGCCGCCTCACGTCAAATATCTTCATATGGTTACCCCCTTTTGTGCACATCGAACGGCTCTTTTCTCTTCTCTGACCAACTTGGCAGGCACCAAACACACACCCGACCGCCATTTATCGCAGTTACATTCTGGTGTGTATACATTCGCGAGCATCAGCTAGTTGCTCCTTGAGGCCATTCATCGCCAAAGATAACTGCTAACCTCGCACTACCAGGTATAGACCCGGATCGCGAATAGGCTTCTAAGAATAGATCAGGGATGCTGGAGAGCGACAGGTAGACAAGTGGTCTGTTGCATTCGAATCCAACACAGGCCAAGGAATAAAATCAAGTCCAAGCAATAAGAGCTTTGAGAGTAAGAAACTGAAATTCGATAGAGGAGCAGTTGGTGCGTTCTCTCTATCCATCTGCCTCACTGTAGTTTGGATCTGTCATATCATGATCAGTGTGTTGTCGGATAATAAGGAACGCCAGCGTGCACTAACGAAACTTGGAGCTTCTACCTGTAATAAAACTCCGGGGCAATTTGCAAGGCTTTTCCGCATGAATCAAAAGTAACTGAGTGACCCTTCAAGCCTCAGGTGCTGTGGGAGGGAACATGATGCGCATATTTTTGGAGTTTTCCACAGAGACGCAGATGCCATCGTGACTCGCGAGTGCCGGCAGTCCAACAATAAGCCACTTGGTAAGATCAGTCCAAATCCTGTTAGGAATCGAAAGGCCTTGCAAAAGGATGGATTCAGAAATATTGTGCGGGTTTAGCCGCCCAGAATATGGTCGCAATACTGGATTGTCATCTGCCGCGGGAAGCATTATAGGACACCATATAGACCCTGGAATTTTTACATTGCAGTGTGATTTCCACCATGACCCGAAAGAACGTGATTATGTGTTTTACACACGATGATGTGAAGTATAGTCGGAATGTACAAGCAGCGTAGTTCCTGCATGCGTTCAAACCACAGCAGGCTACCCTTAACATGGCGGTGCTTAACTTCCTTTCCGTTCTGGCAACAGTATCGGAAGCAGGAGTGTTAGACCATGAGACTCATGCAGTGTCAATAGTGAATCATTGCAGACAAGACCAGCTGCGCTCTAAATTAGTGAATCGCCGAGGGTCACGACCGCGCGTCAACAGCCACGTTAGTAATGCCCTTGGTACAACTCACTGTAAATTCGCATTGGAAAAAACAGCTCTAGGATTACTAGTCTTGAAAGTGCTTCGTATGGCACAATAATGGCTAATGATCTATGTGGACAGTGAAAACGACGGTTATATAAACCGTGCCGGCAACTATTTAGGCCTTACAACGTTCTGTTTCCCTCATCAGACACTGCGGCTCGATTTCGCTAGAGCGATGAGAATAGTCAGTTAACGTTCAATGCTTTGGAAAGCCTGTAACCGTTGGTAGCTGTCCTTCTACACTACAAGCTCTGCCGGAACTAGCTTCCTTGACCTATGAGTGCTGCTTATAAGGCTGATCAGAGTGAGATGCACACGTGCTGCTTCACTAGTGATTTTTGACTTCCTTTTGCACATTCAAACTATATCGTATATTCTCTTTGCAGAGTCCTCAAACATACTAGTGGGACGACAGCGAACCATAGTGCCACCGCGATTGCGTTAGTATGGCCTCATTTTTGTTATTTGCCGAACATTGTGTGTTTCATCTTCTCGATTTCACTTTATTGGTTGCCGCACACACTTGCTTTCTCATTAACACCGAGTGTGCGAACTCTTCCGCTGTCCTCATCTCCAATACTTTCGACACACAGGTGCGGAACACGAGATAGTGTGTTGTGAAATTTTAGAGAAGACGTTAAGCTGCGCTTAAAACCTTGCTACTATGCGAGTTACATTACACGTAGACGTCAAGGAATTAGCCAGGTTTTTAATCTGGTCGTATGCTTTATTCATTGCAGACTATTGCTCAGTAGATACAAGATGACGCAATGTTGCGTAGTCCGTTAGATGCCATGCGCAAATAGCTTAGGTTTCTCAGAGTACATGTAAAGCGCAGCTACGCCCACCCGAATTGTCCCTTTCCCCTCATGTCATGAAGAGGGGTGTGCGGGGAGAGGGAAGCTAGAGTACTTTTGCGAACCACTCAATAACTATTAGGTTTGTATTGATTGTGGAGTTCAGTGTCTGCATACGGAGACTTGAAGTAAAATGTCAGAGTTAGTGCCCTGCCTACTTCAGTACTTTGGAGTACTAGGCATTAAGTCCACGGTCACCAGCCTAGCGACGTCGCAACTAAATGAAGAAGTATTTACCCGTAACTTGCGAGCTTGGCACGTCCTTAGAGCACCCTCTTAGAGAGAACGACAATGCAGTGGGACACCGCAGAGCAACTGGTTTAGTGACGTCCAGGTTAAACCCACGCCTCCTTTCCGCAAGTGACGTACAGCTCTAGTAGATGCTGATAAATGGAAAAGCAGGTATACCCAAGGGGGAACAAGCCGTCAAGCTGCGTACATGAAAACGACGCTGGTGACAAAATGAGACATGGTGAATCCTGTATATTTTCCCAATGCATATCACTAGGGCAGTTTCGCCTTGGCTGTCGAAGTGTCGCGATAAAAAGCCACTGCAGCTCAGCCAGTGGCCTCTTCAGTGGACATTCCAGTTTCGAAAGCTCGCCATGCCCCCTCATGGCTGCATAAAGCAAGGGGCACACAAATGCCCCGTCTACAGTCTTTCGTCTAAGGAAGTTTTATTCCAAGCCTAACTTTTGCCATCGATTCGTGCCTATATCTTAGGGTCTCCGCTGCAGGGAGAGCCATTTCGCCCTTCATCACGAAACGTGTTTTTGCCCAGCTGCCTCATCAAGTACTTTTGCATGTCTTTCTGTTGTTAAGAAACACCACTGCTCCTATACAACACAACAAATACTTTATCAACATTCAGCTAAATGTGCTGCATAAGGTGGCCTGCAGGATGGGGAGGCCACTTGCAGTTTGCCTAAATCTTCCCATATCAGTCGATGTACTTACTATAGCAAGACACTATGCACATGTAGTAGGAAGACAACCATCAGCAATAAGACATCAAATACATATAGAGGCAAGGAAACTGTTGCGTTGGGTGGTGCAAACAAAACCGACCCCAACGGTAGGAAAGTGTTTCCTTTCTGAAAGGGACCACAAACTTGAACAGCTCATGTATTCCTAGTGCAGACCCTTTAGCAGCAATAGGTTCAGTAATAAAGTGATTCTATTATAAACGCTGCTCGACCTCTGTTAGCTGTGTAGCAAACAGAACAAAATCACTGCTGTGTCAGGGACTCGGCTGTTGCCGCTGCAGCAGCTGCTGATGTGTCAAAACAACAGCATCAGCAGCATCAGGAGCAACAGGGCCAGCAGTGACTGCTGAATATAGGCAGCTATTGTTGCGGCGCTACCTCTAGGGGCGCCAAATAATAATCATACGGTACCCAATGCAACGCATCCTGGACAACTTCTCGAGAGGGCCTGCCGATCGCTTCGCGAAGTGCCTTCGTCTTTGCCGGAGGCAAGAGAAGGAAGCAGCAATCTCCTTTGATCTGCAATACGCCCTGCTTCTCAAGGCACGCCACGACATCCTGGAACTCGATTGAGGTCGCTTCCGATAACTCCTAGGGGCGAAGCCACAGCAAACAGCAGCACAGGTAAGATAAAATTGGTGAAAGACACGCATTACTAGAAGGAACCAGCGGCAGGCACGCACGCACGGATAGGAATGTAAGGAGAACCGCTCCTTCAAAAATAGCAAGAGCTTCAAACACATCCTAAATACTGAGAGGAGCATGTATGAAATAGGTATTAATTGTCACGCAATTAAGCAGCGTCAGATAATCGGCAGCACACCTGGAGAGAAACCCGATTTCGAGGTGGTTGCAGCAGCGCGAGGAGCTGCTCTGTCCAGTAAGCAAAATAGGTTGCACGACCCAAGTCGGAAAGAGGCCTTTCTGGACCCCCCGCCCTCCTCTCCCTTTTTGAAAGAGAATAACTAAAACTAATAAGAAACTTCCCGTAGCCTTTCCGTTGGTGCTGCATCAACAACATGGACGCGGCAGCGGGAAAGAAGTAGCTCGTCAGAAATCCTCTATCAGCCGGTAGCAAAACAAGAGCACGAATAGCCGCACGAGCAGCAATACCAGCAGCACAAGAAAGACGAAGAGGTGCTGCAGCAGACCTGCGGGAGGGTAAGAAGACACGAGAGGTTATTCTTGGAATGCTTCTCCTTTGAAAAGTAGCCAGTAATATGGTGCCCTTTGCTATCGTACTCGGTCATCACGTAAAACACAAAAAGGTTTACTGGGTGTCTGCATACGAGAAACACCAAAGCGCAAGCTCGCAGCGAAAAGTTTTCCTGAAGTGCATGTTCTCTAATAGAGACGAGACCAGGACAGGCACATATAGACATCACATTGAAATGCAGACGATGACCGCTCAGCGACAGAGGAAATAGGGTCGGAGATTGCACAGAGCAACGGTGATGAAACTAACAGCAATACCACAATTTCTGTATTGAGGGGGGGACAATGCTGCAAAGAAAGTTCCGTAAAACAAACCTTCGCCCCAAAGAAGCGCCCATTTCACGGTAATTAAACAAACCTTAGGGTTTTGTGATCCAAGAAAAGCTTGGAGAGGAAGCAGAGGTTTTCGCAATATACCCGACAATGCGTGCCATCCACTTCAAACATAGAAACCCGGTCATCTCTGAAGCGAACAAAACAGGAATACCGCATTTTGGAGCTTTAGAGCTGACTGAACAATCCGCCAGAAGGAGGCACATGTGCATAGGCAAAAGTAGTGATTTGGATCTATACCTATTGGTGCGAAGGCTTAGTTTCCGCCTCTCATGTTTTCTTGCCGGAAAAAGTGCTGGACGTCACTGCTTTCGCTACCATATCTGCTCCCTTTGTATGTGGTCTGTGCCTGTGTGTCCCTGTGTTCGTGTGTCTCGTAGTGACTTGAAGTTTCAGCTTTCAAATGAAACTGCCTGACCCTCTCTACTTCACCTGTAGATCTCATTTCCTGGAGGATGTTTGCATTCACACAAGAGCGCGTGGCGCTGCAATTCGCTCTCATGCCTGTGAAGTATGCGCATCGAATGCATCAGCAGCACCGCGGCATTCACTAGCAACAAAAATAACGGATAACACCCACCCATCAACAGCCGATCAAAGAAGCAACACAAGCTACTATTTCGTTTGGCAGTACCCAGTGGCACAGCGGCTAAACGCGCAGGCGGATCAGCAGCAGCGGCAGCAAGGTCAGGAGGGGATGACGGACACGAAGAAGGAGAGGCAGAACTCGCAAATGAAGAGGACCGGGACGTCTTGCACCTCCGCTGGGTAGGGAGAAAAGTACCAGCAGTCCACTAGATGAGACCCAATAGATATTCTTTCAACGGTTTTCAGCTTTGTGGCTTCTTCGTGCTCTCGGAGATACTCCTCGTCCAAACCTACACAAAGCACGACTTAATGAAGGGGTGGTGCTAAGGAATAGGCAATTAAAACGAAGTTTCATAAAGCGTGAATGATGAAGTATGTTTTGTCAGACATGGGGCAGCCTAACACAAAGAGACAGTCAGAGGGGCAGAGGAACTGCAAAGAGGATTCCCGTCCTTCATTGCATGCAAAGGAAGCGGCAAATTCATAGGCAGGATTGCACATTGAGATGGTAGTGGTCAAGTTGCTGTAGCGGGCAGCTTCCTTCCAACCTCCTTGTCTCTCCTCAATGGTGTCTGCTATGTGGCTGCGTCCATCTGGAGTACTTTTCACATTCAATGGGCAGCGTTGTACAGGCATTGGTGCAATGTAGACTGTTGGCTCCCCACAACCCTGACCTGCATGTTCGTCATCTTCATCTGGCTCCTCTTCTTCTGTCATGGGCTCGTCTGACGGCAGTTCCTCGCGAGTTTCCCTGAGCTCGGACCAGCTTCGCCAACAATCCAACCTGCAAGATACAAATACGATACCACCACCAAAAGCGAAGTCTGAGAATCACCAATACGCCTTCTCCCGCCATAAACTAGAAATGCGGAAGGGGCTGAAAACAAAAACGGAATAATACTAGTTTCCGTATATTACAAAATCCGTAGGCCTGCTTTTTGAGAGAACATCCTGGGGTTCAGAGCTTGTTGCATCTTTTGACCCGTGCCAGAAACTCAGAGAACAGCATGTAATCAACAGCAACGGTAGACTATTTGTATCAGAGTTACCGGCGGTCCAAACCGAGAAAATGAACATAGTAGTCGTAGTCGCTCGGACCAAGGGTCGTTGCTGCTTCAAAAAATCCACTGCCCTCCAACCAGCTGCTGCCGTTGCTACTGTTGCTGTTTGTCGCTGTTGGCTCTCCTGTTACGTTTCCGTCGATTAAGAGCTGCTGCTGCTGCTGCTGCTGCTCAGATGTGTGCACAGCGGCAGCCGCGGCAGCAGCAGCAGCAGCGCCTCGAAGCCCAAAGGGCCCCCTTTTCCGTGCTGCGGCTCCGAAGCTCGAGGGAATGCCTGCGGCTGCTGCTGCAGCGCGACGTTCGGCGTTTGGCCTGCGTAGGCAATCGCGAGAAAGGCAGCAGCAATAAGACATGTAACAGGAACACCACAGAGACGAATGCAGTAGAGCTGTAGCTGCAACGGAGGCAAAAGTGGCTGTACCTGGCGTGTATGATCTTGCAAGGTCTCCAGTGGAGAGAAACGGGATCTCGGGCCCACACAATCGCCTTTGCCGACAAGGCGTTTGGAAACTGAAGGCACGAAAGTCAAGATCAAAATCACAGACGCTCGAGGGTGCATTGCTGTCGGTGCGGTCTCATAGCATCTTGACTGGAAGGACATGCACATTCTAGCAAGTCGAGTGCTGGCAGAGGTTCAGTGGCTTCGAGTTCACCTGCAGTGCGTAGCTATCCGTAAAGCGGGCAGGATTGAGCTGCTTTCCGCCCTTAGGGGCCACACCCTTTCCTTTGCTGCTGCTGTTGGTTCCGCGAGCAGCCGCAGTGGGTGCTGCGGAGGCTGCTGCAAAAGAACCTGGACAGCTCGCATCGACAGCAGATGCCTGACGGCCTACGTTGCCACTGTTGCTGATATTGCTGCTACTGATGACGCTGTTGTTGTCGTTGTTGCTGATGTTGTCACCGCTGCTGAGACTGTCGTTGCCGCTAATGTTTTTGCTGCTGTCAAGACACTGGACCTTTTGAGGCGGAGCCTGACTATCGCTGCAGCTGGCGAGACTGCTGCTACTGCTGCTTGCTGCTGTGCGTTTCATTGTACCAGTGTACTGCTTTACGTGCTGCTGTGCGTGTCTTGCCGCTGTCACTGTCCGTGCTGCACTTGTTGCTCCTAGCCTGGAGCAGCAGCCAGCTGTGTCTCGTCCACTGTCGTTCGCCCAAAACAGCGAAGGCCCCCCCGGTGGGGCTGCAGGTGTAGCTGCTGCTCTTGCCTGTGGCGGTGGTTTTCCAGGTGGATACTGTACTTTACATGGTATTGTGGCAGCTACCAGTGCGACCGTTGCTGCAGTTGCTTCTGCTGCTGCCCATCCACGGACCCATTCTGGAGATTCAGAGGGAGAGTGTCAAGAATTACGAGATGGACAAGGCCAAGAAGCCCCCAGTCGGAAGGCAGAATTACAGCTGCCGCCGCAGCAGCAGCAGGGGCAGAAGGGGTAGCAGCGGTTGTTCCGGCGCAACTACGTTAATGTGCTCTACTTAAGTCTTCTGTCGGTAGCCTGCTGCTGCAGGTACTGTACTAGGCCACTGCTGCAACAAACGGTTCCTTCTACCACTGCGCAGCACTGATTAAAGGGCCCTAGCCTCGAGGCGGGCTGCCGCTGCTGCTGCTGCTGCTGCTGCTGCTGCTACCGGTAGTTTTTGCCTATTATATTTGTTTTGTTTTCCATAATTAAAAGGTAATCGCTTATGTATTGTTTTTTGGCTGCACAGTTTGCGACAGCATTAGCCACAAGGTGGCAGGACAGCAGCTGCCCAAACCTTAGAGAACGGTGCTGCTGCTGGTGCATCCATGCACTCTACTCATAAATGCACCTGAACTTCTCCATGCAGCTGCAAGAACTCCACCAGAATCTGCAGTGTAAGGAGGAACACCTTTGGTACATCAGGACGAGCAGCAGTAGCAGCAGCAGCTCTAGTAGGAACAGAAGCAACGGCTAGAAAGACAGCAAAACATCGAGCATAGGGGGGCCCAGACGCAGTGGCACATAAACCACTAGAGGCGACTACAGAGAGCAGCAGTTTCAGGGGCGGGTGGCGGTGATTGGATAGTACCATCATAACCGACGCCAACAACCATAGAGCACTAGCAACAACACAATAAACTGCAGCAACGCTACTCGTGCAAATCCAGCAACGCTACCCACAGATACTGCAGCAACAATGGTGCGCCGAATGTTCTTGCCCTTTTTCTCCAAGGACCGGGGACCCCCACGGATCCGAATGCAGGTAGCTTTCTGCTGGAAGTGCTGTTGTTTTATTCGTTTTGTTGCTCCTGGTGCTGCTGCGATATCCATGACACGAATAATTTGTTCTCACCAGTGACATTCAGCGCAAACAATGCTTTGCCAGTAGAAGGCTCCAGTACGTGTGTTGCAATGAAATGCCTGCCTTCAAAAGAGCAACGTTGTTCTGATTGGTACAAAGGTGCTGCTGTGTTTGCTATTCCAGGTTATGGGTACAAAGGGCCGACGTTTCTACAAGATCGTTGCGGCGAATCAGAGAGATCCCCGAGATGGGAAACACATGGAAGTGTGTTACGGTCACCAGTTTGCTGTCTGCCGATGTGTCGGCTAGTCTTTCTCTTGGCCTTGGATTTTGTGCGGAACTGTTGTAGAATGCTTGTTGCTGGCTTCCTTCGTTTATGCTTGTGTAGAGCTTGCGAACGCCCATGTCTTAACTTTTCCCCCTACTTCGGCTTTCCTGCTTCGATAGTTCCATTGCCGCATGGGTCCGCTCCACGTTTCTCTCTGTCTGCCTGTCTCAGCGTTAGCTGCGTTTATGTATGTGATTTTTCTGCTACTACGTATCAGTTGAAGTGTTTCATAGCCATCCATCTGTTGCCCTTGCACCACAGCCAAGGTCCAAATGTAGCGTTTCTGCCCCTCGAATGGGCCCTGCTAGCCTGCTTTCTGTTGTCTGCCGCGCTGTGTGAGATGGCACTGCTGTTTGGTTTATTTGATTCCCTATGTGTCAATGCAATGACCATGCGACTGCTTAAAGCGTATGAAAGCGCACCTGAACTTCTGTGCATGCATTTGACATATCTCTGCAGACGTCGCATTGAACTTCAATAGCGGACGTGCATACTATGGGTCCGCATGTACCACCCACATTAGTACCAAGCTCTTATCTTTTGTTGAAGGGCCCGCTTTATCGTTCTTCCACTACTATGTCGTCGAAAACTAGGTGCTTGAGGGCTTTTTTTACGCTATTTCTCGCTTGTTTTCATAGGTGCTGGGGAGTTATGTACCCATTCCTGCCTCTTCCACCTCCGTGTCGGAGCTCCGGCTGCGTTTCTCAAGGGTCAAATTCTGGCTAGGTGTAGGTTCTTCCTTCTCCCTCTCTGTTGGCCGTCTCCTCGGTGCCGCTGGCCTTGTGCCTTTGCCCCCCCCTATTTTTGGATGGAGATGCCGGGGCAGGTACCAGGAGTTGCTGCAGCAGCAGCAACAGCACCAGCAACTAGTCAAGGTCAGCCTTATGACTACTTAACTTCCGCGGACAAACAAGGTTGCTGTTGCTTAAGCTGTATCGGGATCAGAGCCAATGCCATGTCGCCTGCTTGCGAAATCATCTCGATCGGTGAAGCTACACAAATCGCTAGTGCCTCCGTTGTTGCGGCTGCCCGTGCAGGAATCTGAGCTACGCAGTTTCTTCAAATTGCCTTCTCCGGTGCGCACTCGGCGCGCGGAAGAAGGCCAAAAGCCCAAGAAAGAAATTATCCGACAGATTGTTAGATAAAACGAGCGGCAACAATTGTGGGTGAAAGCGTTGCTGTTGCTGCAGTGGTTGATCAATCTTTTTGCTGCAAAAGCAACGATAGGAACTCGATACCCCACTATGCCTGTCGTTCACAGCTGCAGACCTGCCTTTTCACTCGCGCATGCGTCAGCGTGTCGAAGGGTTACTGTTCTGCTGCTAGTTTCTTCCCGCCAAAATATCCCGCAAGTCCACAGGCTTGTGGGGGTTCCATCAGCATGTGGCTTGTGCACCCACGTGTAAGTTACAGTAAATTCAGCAAGCTATGGATCTAAGGGAGGTACACCAGCGGGCACTCCATGCAAGAGCTAGCTGCTGCTGCTTTTTGCTTCTGGCCCTGTCGCTCTTGGGAATTGCGGTACTGCTCCTGTTGCTGAATCGAGCTCTAGTCCCTGTATTATGGTACATGGTCGAGGAAAGTGCTTGGGGAGGACTGCAAACCCATGAAGTTCTCCGATGCAGTTCCTCTCTGCTACTGCTGCTGCTGCTGCTTATGGCGGGGCCATTTCCTCTCCCCCAACTAGATCAGAAACATCTATTTCAAACATTATTCTTTTAGTACTTCGGGTGACCTGCACAGAGCCCTGGCTCTGTTCCCACTCCCGCGCATCCGTGGCGGCTTGTTGCTGCCCAGAAGCCGAGACTCGTCAGTGTTGTCGCGAGCGGCCTCAGATGAGGTGTATCTCTCTGCAGCTGCCAGAGGTCGCCCGGTGGTCCCGACTTAACTCTATTATCTTCCTCTCATGTTTGTCTCCCTTCACGCTGATCATACAGCGTCTTTCCTCTCGTAATCCCTGCCGCATTTCCTCTCGTAGATCCGAATGCAGTGAGCTTGAAACATCTCATAGTCTCTTTAGCCCCTTGGCTAATCACTCTGTTGCTTCCTCGGAAAGTTCATCACCCCTTAAAAGCAATGCTGCAAGCCCAGGAGAGGAACGCACCGATGCGCTGCAGGGCGACGAGCCTTGAGTTACCTCTGCTTTAAAAAGCCATCGCTTTGCTACATTTACTGCGGCTGCGTGGCCATCCCCTTCAGCGTCATCCGTAGTGCCCCACTGGGGCTTCATGCGAGCGGCACACCTGCACAGACACCGCAGCAGCAAGCCAGCAGTACGGCCGCTGAGCAACAGCACTCTCGCAGTTGCAGGGTAAAAGCAGCATCACAAAAACGGCAAATGAGTAATATCAGCTTTCCTGGTACCATTCCACCCACCTGTACTGCAGCAACAGCAATAGTGGGAGAAGATTTAAACTGCGGGACTACTCACACGGGCTGGAAGCATGAAGAACTGAAGGGGGACAGATCACCCCTACTACTCTCCTCTACTGGTGCTGTAGCATGCTCTTGGTGGGCTGTTGCTGTGTTGCTTTCAGGCCTGCGCTTCCCGTGGTGCACACGAGTACCTTTGCGGCCGCTGCCGGCAGTATCACCGAAGAGGTGGAGCTTGCCAGGTTGCTCTGCTAACTCTTGTGGCTTCAAGTCCCCGATCTGCAGAGTAGAGGGCAGTTTAGAGAATCGATTAACAGGGTTTCCGCCCAATCAGGATTTAGCGTTGCAGCATATTTTGTTCTTGTGTTTGCTTACGTGCCTTTTCCTTAACTTTCGACTACTGAGAAAGGACTCCAGAACTCGTAGCAGATGCTCAGTTGAGCTTCTCTTATTGTTCCCGCTGTTGCTGTTGCTATGTTGATGGCCGCTATCGCGGAATTGCTGACTCGTGTTGCTTAAAAGATCATCTTCAAAACTGATGGACTTTTCAGCGTTCGCGGAGGGCCTCTTGGGTTTTGGGTGCACCTTCAGCTTCTCAGCGGTAGCTCCCTTAAACCCCTCGAAGACTTTAGGTGGCCTCTGACGACCTTCTAGAGGGGGCCGCTCTGATGCCGCATGCAGTGGTTCCCCACCAAACCCACAAACAACACCCCTCATGGATAGAGAACAAGAATCAGCTGAGGAGGTTCGAGGAGCACAGGAGATTTCCTGAGAGGTACTGAAACATTTGTTCACTGGGGCGGCGGCGACAGAAGCCCTCACAGGGTCTAAGGCTATATAGGGAGTCTCACTAAGGGGACGTTTACCTGTGCAGGCCTCATACACCCAATCTAGAGCCCGGCATACTCCAGAAACAGGTCCCTACGCGCAATGGAAACAGCAAGGAAGGGCAGAGTGCAAACAGCGAAATGAACACAGCAGCAGCACCATCCATGGATCTCAACAACAGTGGCAGTACTATTACTCACAACAGATGCACTCTGCTGTCGGTAAGAGCAACGTTAGCACTAACAGTGCTTACACAACGCGGTGACAGCGTTGAAGGGAGCTAATTTGTATAGCATCAGCAGTCCTCGACCTACGGTGATGTCGTTAGTGCCACTGAATGTTCCTTTCAGGAGCGAATCATCTTCTGGCATGTCGGCCTGCGCACCGCGCTTGCCACCTGTTGGCTGCGGCTGCTGAGATGGATGTGTCTCAATGGCGAGCCACCGCATTTCTGTGCTACAGTCTTCTTTGAGCAGCGGCCCAAAGATGTTCTGGATGTAAATATCAAAGAGCTGCTCGATGGAGGCGGTGAGCAGGAGCGTGAAGTGAAATCTGCATGCAACAGTGTAAAAATGCAGAATAGTAGTATTAGTTGTAGTAGTAGTAGTAATGGTATTAGTGGATACATTAGACTCCGAACATCAAGAAGCCACAGTAGCTCTTACGGCAACAGCATTAGTTGTAAAGTTTTGGAGCTAAGGAAACACACTGGAAGGCTTCGGGGCTACTGTAGTTCTTCCATCGAGGGTTGAGGCAGCCTGTGAGGAGCAGCAGCCGCAGGCATTGCAGCTGCTTATGCATAACTCTGTCCAAAGTGTTCAGTTGCTCATGTTGCAGCGTCTTCTGATGGTGTAGTTGCGACAGCGATTTTGCTACACGAAAAGGTATGCTGAAGCCGCTGTGAGAGAAGGCCTTTGCTGCAGCAAGCGCGGCAGCAGCAGTTGTCGCAGTAGCAGCAGCTGGGTGATTGCCACTGTTGCCACGCTCAGATTTGATGTCCTGTGGGGCCTTGTCTCTGTAGGTTTGTGCGACGAACTCTGCCACTGCTGCCGTTCCTGCTTCAGCAGTGAGAACCTTGATCTCCCCGTCAAGGGTTCGTTTTTCTTCTGCGGGCGCTAGTGCTTCTGGAGTTTCGATTTCACTTGGAGGCCGCTCAAGCTCCAGAGCCAAGTCCACAGCAGCCGCAACAGCCTCCATGATGGCTGGGTTCAGGTTCTTGATGCTGCGATTACCGCCCTTGTTGCTTACAATACACTTACGTCTCAGGGTACTGTGAGCAAAGGTAAAACCAGCTGCCCACTAAAAATGCGGGTAGGGGGCCCTGCTGCAATGGGCACATGTATCAATATCTCTAACGGTTCTTTTAGCGAGGCTGTAATTGGAAGAAGCTCAGATCGGACCTACTGCTGTGTCGCTGCAAATAGTTTTGTCGCCGGTATCTTTTGAGAGATCCACATAAGATTGCTGGCGTTGTTCGTTCTCCAGTATTCTAGTGAAAACATCAGCTGATGCTGGGCAGCAGCATCCACAACAGATCCAACAGCTTTAAAAGGAGCATCAGAACCGATATCGTCTCCTGGCTTCGCCTTCACACACTCTCTGTCGGATATGCCTGGAACGTTCTTTACAGTTTGTTGTTGACGGGCCATGCTCGTGAGCGACTCACTGAAGCCGCATCCAATATTGCAGCTGCTGCAGCATACGATACTAGTTTAGTTGTTCAAGCTATGCCTGCTGCGAAAACTCCAGTATTTGTTCAAGCATCAGGCGCCTCTGAATGCAGCGATAACTACCGGTATTGCAATACCAGCTCCCTGCCTCCACCGCAGCCGGATACCATATGGAGAACCGTCAACTGAATCTCGTGCTACTTGCCTCATGCTTGGGTCTCTCCAACGGTTGCACAGGCGAAATCCAGTGGCCCCCGTGGAGCCCCCTTTAACCGAAGGGTCAGAGCCGACAGTGTGCAGATTGCAGGCCACAGCGATGAAAGTGTACTTGGAGCCAGACATAAATGACTTGGAGGCAAGCAAACGCCAGCAGGAATAAGTGAGAAAATGACGGGATGGGATGTAAAAATGTGCAGCAAGGAGACGGATGCTGCGGTTGTAGAGTGGGAGAGTATCTAGGGCAACAAGGGGATACCTAGGCTATACGGAAGGGGTAATCAACGCATTGTACGTCCTCGCTCATCTGCCAGAGGTAAAAGACCATGATGCGAGTTTCGAAAGGTGTTTGGAATCAGAGAGAATGGGAAACGGGGGAGGGAGGAAAGGAAGACAAAGAAAGGAAAGGAGAAGGGCGAAGCACCGGAGTCTAGGGGGCGTAAGCAGTCAAAAAGGTAAATATTCGAACTAGCCCTTATGGCTTGCTGGATTTTGGCCTTTCACATTGAGTATTACCATAGCTTTTTAGTTCCCCTGACTGCGGCTTGCAACAGTCCCAGAAATTTCATACGTCAGCGGGCCGATGAATGCGAGACGGAGGGCATGCCTTCGGTGCAGTTCAGGGCAGCTTTCATAGTTTTCTCAGCATATTTATACGGTCTTTGGAGCATACACAGGATTTTGCGAATGAAATAATTGAAAAATGGAAGAGTGAAAGCACAGGTTTCTTGCTTGGTCATGGGGGAGGGAAAGGGGGCCTGTCGGTGACACAGTGCGGTTAGGGGACTGGTGGCAGAATTGGAGAGTGGGGAGGCACTCCTATGCATGCTATGGAAAAGAAAAATATAGGAAGAGGAATGGAATGCAGCATCTTTGAGAAAATGAATTGCCTATGGGCATATTCATGAGAAGACTCGAGTTGCTATGAACGTGCGAACGCGTATGCCTTTAAAATATCTCTATCACTTGCTAATATATCTCATTCCTTGCAAATGTATAAAGAAACTGATTCCGTAAAATGAAGTAGTCAATAATAGCAAAATTAAACTAGTTTCCCT